GCCACCCAGCCACCCAGCCACCCAGCCAGACATGGAGTAAGAAGGAAAGAAAAGATATGCCAGATAGAGAAAGATAAAAGCTCCAAGGCCAAAGATAGATGGGATAATTTATGAAAAGTTGGCAAAATACAAACCAGGTTAAGGCCCGGTGTTTATAATAAATAATAAGCCTCCATGTGTGATTCATTTGAGAGCTGGATGGCGTGTCCTCCAAAGAGTTCAAGAAAGCCAAGGAGTAAAACATCACACAACAAAGACCCACATGCTGAAAAAAGGGAACAGCTCCTGAAAATTGTCCTCTGGCCTCCATATGTGTGCCGTGGTGCATGAATATACAACACAATGCACAAACAAATGAATAAATGTGGTAAATTAAAAGAAATGACTCCATGGCTGGGAACCTGCCGAGTGACACAGCACTTGTTGAGTGTATGTGAAGTCCTGGGTTCAGGCTCTGGTACCACCACAAAACACAGTAGAGGGGTGGGAGGCTGGAGGGATGGCTCAGCTGTTACAGCACTTGACTGCAGAGCAGGCAGGTTGGAGCACACACATGAGGACTCAACCATCTGTAACCCCAGGTCCAGGGAATCTGATGCCCTCTGCTGGCTTCCAAGGGCACTGCATGCACATAGTGCCCTACAGGCACTCAGATACACACATATATAAGTAAATAAGTAAGCAAGTCTTTTTTTTTAATGGTGAAGGGAGGGGGGACTAGGAAAAAAAAAAAAAAAAAAAAAGAACTGCCTGATTGGCTAGCAGGAGGATGCGCAAAGAAGGCAGGCCTGACTGAGGTCCCTCCACTTTTTGTGGGGCATGAGTAGCATTAGGGACATCATTGTATTGTGCAGCACAGAGTTTCATCATTATACGGACAGGCACCTTCAGTGGAGGGAAACAAAGTGTGAGTGTGTTGGTTAGGGGAGGAGAGAGTGAATGGACCAGCTGATTAGAGTACCCGTCCCTCCAAAAGAGGTCCTCAGGGAGACTCACTCCCATGTCACAAGCTGTAATGAAAAACTAACAAACAAAAGACTCAACAATTCCACTCACCTTTTTGATATCACACTCATCGAGGTGGTTTTGGATGAACTGAACACTGGCCGTGAAGTCAGCAGAATTGAATTCATAGGGAATATTCCATCCCAAAGGACCAAATTTTCGTCGCTCCTTAAAAAGAGCAAAGAAAGTCAGTGTCAACTTTTCTTAATGGTTTATTTGTTTTTATTTTACATGCACTGGTGTTTTGCCTACATGTATGTCAGTGTGAGGGTGTCAGATCCTCTGACATTGGGAGCTACAGACAGCCATGAACTGCCAAATGTGAACCCAACCACTGAGCCAAAAGCTGTATGTAGCTGGATCTTTGTTTGTGGATCTGGGGGGGGGTCAAACTCAGGGCCTTTGGGCTTGAGAGACAAGCACTGTAGTAACACTGAACTACAGTCCCTGCCAGTTCCCCTATTACTGTTAGTGTAGTAAGGCTTAATAAAAGCTCCATCGATAAGTTAAGTTGACACTGTTTGAAGAGAGCAGTATGGGGTCGACAAGATGGGCTCAGTATGGGCTCAGTGGGGAAAGGTGCTTGTCAACAAGGCTGATGACCCAATTTCCATTCTACTGCAGCATCTACATTCATTCAAGCCTATATCTATATCTATATATATATATATATATATATATATATTGTTCCACTCAAACAGTAAAAATACTTTAAAACAGAAATAAAAAATTAAATGACAATGCTTAGTTAGACAAAGTTGGTCCCAGCACTTGGGAGGCTAAAAAGGGAGGTTTGTGATTTCAAATTCAGCCTAGGCTACATATCAAGACCCTGTCTCAAAACAAAAACAAAAATAAGCAATATGTACAATTTGAGATATTGAAATATTATTTAATGACTATAGCTATTGATTTGCAAACAAATTTCCAAATACTTGTCAAGTTGTAGTTGTCGGGGTTTGAGGCTTCTTTATTGTTGTTTTGGTTTTTTTTATTGTTTTGTTTTGATTTTTTAACCATAGTAGGTTGTCATGGTGGCACAAGCATCTAAGTTGGAAGATGGAGACCTGTCTCAAACAAAGAAAAACTTGTCTAGGTCTCTGTTGACAACTGCCCGGGTAACTGCAGGAGATTCTTAATGAATGCCTGTTGGATTTGTTGCTATTCTAAGACAGACTACTGAGAGTCTGGAAAGTCAAATGTAAGGGCTGAGATCCTTCAAGTTGAACTCAAGCATTTAAGAACATGACTCCCTGCTAGCTTCACTCTGTAAATTTTCCATCTCGGGTTTTAAAAACTAGGAATTTCTATTGTATACATGACACAACTGCCTTAAAACTCTCATTCCGCCTTCACACCACTGTCACTGCCAAACTGAGACCTGGAAGATGCCTATGAAAACACGGCTGTTCAAATTTGCCAAGTTGCCCGTGAGTAATCAGACAGGCCCCAGTTCAGAGGATGGAGCTTCTCTGATGGTCTGGAGACTGCTGTGTCTATGTGTTCATGTGGATGAGGGTTTGTTCGTGGAGGCCAGAGGACAACCTTGGGAAGGTCTCTCCTTGACCCAGAGATCACCAATGAGGCTGATTAGGCTAGACTGGCTGCCCAGCAAGCCCCAAGGATCCTCTGGTCTCCCCCATGCCTAGAACCTTACCTTGGGTCCTAGGGATCAAACCCAGATCTTCAAACTTGCAAATAAGTTTGAGTCATCTCCACCTCCAGAGCCCTGGAGGCCACGTTGAATGTGTGTAAATGGTATCCCTAATAACTCCAAGCCCCATAAACCCAGAAGGCATTCAGATGAGCCCAGTTTCTATGCTATCAGCTGTCCCTGCCTAGTACATGTAAATCTCTAGGGGGAATCTCATACATCCTTGGGAGCCCCATACTAGTGTCTAGATTAAGAACTGACATGGACAGCAATTCTGCTTCACTGAGTACATACTGATACTTCTTTCTCTCCACTGCCTTCTGCAACATACTCAAGAGCGCGCACACACACACACACACACACACACACACACACACACACACACACACACACACAACACACACACACACTGAAGTCTTCATAAGTCATCTCTTCTTACTGCTGCCATTCCAAGCCCCATTTACTGCACAGTCCCACCTTTTAAAGAAATCTATTAGTTAGGACAAAATCATGGACAAGTTACAGAAGAAATTCTCCAAGCCAGAAGATTTTAATCATTAAATTTCAAGGTATGCTTTTAAAATATTAACAAAACCATTAGCATTAATTTAGATCCAGTTGTTCTGACCCTGGGAGATAAGATGAAGGACAAAGTGGGGAAAAAAAAGAAATTCAGAACCCTCTCAAAAGTGGGAAGGTGCATCCATTACTTCTTTCCTTGACCTGCACTTCTTGGGTTAGGTTGTCACATCTTAATGTGACTCTCATCCCCATCACTTAACTAATTGATTAAAAGAGGACAACCAGTCCAAGAAAAAGAGCTTCTAAACAGGGAAAAGAAAAATCAGCAGAATGAACAGGCAGCCTACAGAATGGGGGAAGGCTTTTGCCAGCCATGCTTCAGATAGGGAGTTAGTATATAGAATATATAAAGAACTATAAAAATTAAACACCAAAAAGAAAATCCTACCAGTTATCAAAGAGATTATTAAAATAAGCAGACAGATCTCAAAAGAAGAAACATAAATGGCTGGTGAGCATTTTAAAAAGAGTTCAACATCCCTAGCCACCTGGGCAATACAAATTAAAACTATTTCGATAGCCCTCTTCCCCAGTCAGAGTGGTGATCATCAAGAAAACAGACAATAAATGCTAGTGACAATATAGGAAAAGAGGAACTCGTACTTGCTGCTAGTGGGAGTGCAAACTAGTGAAGCCATTATGGAAACCAACATGGAGGGCCCTTGAACAATTAAAAATAGAACTACCATCTGCCAACCATACCACTCCTGGCGTCACCTAAAGAACTCTGTATCCTACCACAGAGATCCCTGCACATCCATGTTCATTGCCGCTCTCCTCACAACAGCTACTAAGTGGAGGCAGCAGAGAGGTCCATCAGCAGATGGATGGATAATGAAAATATGGCATATACACAACTGGATTTTATTCAGCCTTCAAGAAAAAAGAAAAACCATGAAGTTACTGACTTGCTTCCAGGCTCACTCTTAGCTAACTTTCTTATACAACTCAGACCCACCTGCCTAGGGATGGTACCACCCACAGTGCAACCTACATCAACCAGAAATAAGAGAGCACCCCCTGGACATACCCACAGGTCAATATGATACAGACAGTTCTTCAGTTGAGGTTCTCTTTCTCCAAGTGTGCCAAGTTGACAGCAAAACTAATCAAGATAGTTGGTTTGTTTTTATATTGTTGCCTCATGTTGAAATATTTGGTCCTTTAACCAGATTTGGAAGCTTGGCCATCAAGGACAGGTCTTTCCTCTTTATCTTCCTTTGGTGAAAAGACTCATAGTTGTCTAAGCCACACTGGTCAGTCATGATCCTAATGAAGGATCCCTCCCACCCCTAGTGAGGTCAATGCCAAGGCTGACTCTGAGTTTGAGGTTCTTGAGTAGATGTTGGCATCACTGAGGTGAGACTCTTCTAGATTTTTCTGGGAGTCAGGGTGGAATGGAACCTTTCAGGTATCCACAAGGAAACTGTTGCTGTGGCTTCTCCCATTGCGTAAGCTTCACACAACAGAGCGTAAGTCACTTAGTAAAATGGGAATATTATCCATTTTTTGCAAAAAAAAAAAATCTACAGTGAGTTTTACCTAAGCATTTGACTTAATTTTTGAAATTTAAGGTTCAATTAGACAGAGGACTGAATGAGACATAATTCTTTCTTTGCAATTACTGGGGATACTCCTGCTGGTTCCATGGAAACACTTCCATTTATATGCACTGAGCGATGGCCACTCAGCTGTTCCTTAAAATGCAATCTTCAAAAAATTGCCCCAGTGCTGAAACTTACTTCATATCATGTCACTTCTTATCAATTTTCATTTAAAACATTCTCTTTTTAAGCTGGCTCACTGAAGTCAAAGACAGTTGAGTTCATCTTGGGGAAAATATTTTTAAAAGAAGACAAAAATCTTGGTGGATGCTTTTGTTTTTCATACACACACACACACACACACACAATGTCAAGTTCTTGTGTCCGTCTGTACACGTACCCACCCACCCACTGAACTCTCTAAATGACAATAAAGGAAAAGAAAGAATGAGGCCCAGAGAGATGTTTCAGAAGATAAACACGAACTCCAAAGCCTTGATTACTTAAGCTGACCCTGGAGAACCACACGGTGGGGGGACAGAACTGGCTCCCCGAAGCTGCTCTCTGCCTATATGTGAGCTGTGTCACATGACCTCCCATAAATAAACAAAAATGTTATTGGATATCAATAAGGACCATGGGATATTTAAAAAGAGAGAAGATATATATATATATATATATATATATATATATATATATACAGATTGGGCTTATCAAAGCACTGGTGCCTGAGAGCTCATTTGGAATCTTAGATATAGAAGATGTTGAGGCTTAATTAGGGTGTTCAGTCTCTTCAGTCCAATTAGTATTTTGGAAGCCCTGGGCCAAGGTCTTATTAGTACAATAGAAAAGCATTAGAATACATGTGTTCTCAAGAAGTTTCCATCTAGTCCAGAAAATAAGACACAGAAACAAGAAAAGGACAATGTGACAGCAAAGGCAATTAGCTGCTGAATTACCAGGGTGATAAAGTCTGGAAAAAAATAAAAATAAAACAGACACCCCACCCAGGACCAGCCTCAGGTTCACAGCCAAAATGAGCCTGTTCTGTGAAAGCAGACAAGAGGCCTGCAGGTTTGGTGAAGGCGTGGAGAAAACAAAGAAGCACAAAGTAAAAAATAAAAATAAAAAATTTTTAAAAAAAGAAGCACAAAGTAGTCTGTGGAGAGGACGCAGAGGCAGAAGGCCCTACTGTGGTCAAGGGCAAGCTTTGGAAGCGGCAGGGACTCCAGGCTCACTTCCTTCAGGGTTGGATATAGACAGATTTGAACACAAAGCTCCCCTACTCAAAGAGGGCCAGAGTAGAGTTTTTCACAGTGTGTGTGTGTGTGTGTGTGTGTGTGTGTGTGTGTGTGTGTGTAGCAGTCAGAGCTTGATATCTTTCTGTATTACTCTAATATTATTTTCTGAGACAAGGTCTCTCACTGAACCTGGCTAAGCTGGATGGGCTGGCCAACAAGCCCCAGAGATCCACCTGTCTTGGCTCCCCCAGCTCTGGGATTTTAGGATTGGGCTGCCACAGTCAGCATTTGACAGGAGCTCTGGGAGTCTAAACCCAAGTCCTCATGCTTGCAGGGCAGCACTTTGCAGACGTCCTCCCCGACCCGACCCCACCCCACCCCACCCAGAGGAATACACAAAATGGAACTACTGATGAAATATGGAAACATACTGAGCTCACTGATGAGAGAATGCTCAACAGTGATTTTAAGGGTGCTGAAGCTTGCCGTGATTTTATGTGCGGCTTGATGCACTTGACTGGCTGTAGTTAACTACCAGACCTAGTAACATAGGGAGATGAAGTCTACAGTAAATGAAAGATCCAATCTGCACTATAGACAGTTAAATGTAATGTTAAGGGGTTAAAAACCATAGACAGAAGTGGTCAGGATCGGTAGGAGCCATAATGACAGGGGAATATGAAAGAGGAACTTGTATCGTGTTGTTGTAACTACTCAGAAATATTTAGATGAGGGCCTTCTAAGCACGCTTGCCAAAGCAAGGACTTTTACGGGCACTGTTAAGTTTGAAAAGAGGTGTTTCATCAAGACTTTAACTAGGCAGGACAAAACTCAGAGGAGGTGAACACCTTCCTGGATGAGAATATATCTATGGTGGCATTTCCTGGGCCCTGGTGATTACTGTGTTTATATAATGTTTAAATTACTTTAAAGGCTGAGATAAAAAAAAAAAAAAGTCCACATTTACAACTACCACTTCAGGACTCTGGAACTCCTGCAGAGCTTACTATCCTGGGCCAAGAGCAGAATGACTATAGTAAAGAAACAGCAAAAAGTCAGTGGATAATCCACTGGAAAAGTCCAGTGGCTAGAGGTTCTGTGGGCAAAGCCTGAGGATGAGGAGAGGAATTCCCAAACATGAGAAGGTTGTAAAAATGGCAGCAGATGCCTCCCTTAGATACAGTGGCTAGTTGGACAGCATCATTCTCACTTTCTATTGTATATTAGAGTCATATTGGAAATTCTTAAACTAAAATGGAATATTCTCTTCTCCGAGCTTGGCTCCATCATCATCATCATCATCTTCATCATCATCATCATCATCATCATCATCTTCATCATCATCATCATCATCATCATCATCTTCATCATCATCTCCATCTTAGCCACAGCACCTTTGAGAAGTTATACCTCAAGCTTCCCTGTGTGCATCAGAACCCATGTATCTTTTACACTTAAGATTCATGGATACGTGTGTGTGTGTGTGTGTGTGTGTGTGTGTGTGTGTGTGTGTGTGTGTGTGTGTGTGTGTAGATAGATGAGAGAGAGAGAAAGAGAGAGGTCTCAGTAGTTAAGAGATCATGCTGCTCTTCCAGGGAACCAGAGTTCAGTTCCCAGCACTCACATTAGTTGGCTCACAGCCACCAATGACTCCAGTTCTAAGACATCTGATGCCCTCCTTCTGACCTCCTCAGGCACAAGTACACCTGTGTGCATGCACACACACATACATACATGCACACACAAAAAAAAATCATAAGAGCACACTCTCTCATTTTTTAAGATAGGGCCTCTCATTAAACCTTGGACCCACCAATTTGACTAGACTGGCTGGCCAGGGATCTCAGAGATCCTCCTACCTGTACCTCTCTTTCCCTCCACTCTCACCCCTCCCGCCTCACTGTGCTGGGGTTTCGGGCACATGTGGCCTTGACCAGATTTTGTTTGTTTGTTTGTTTTATTTTTTGAGACAGGGTTTCTCTGTGTAGCTTTGGAGCCTGTCCTGGCACTCGCTTTGGAGACCAGGCTGGTCTCAAACTCACAGAGCTCCTCCTGCCTCTGCCTCCCGAGTGCTAGGATCAAAGGTGTGCGCCACCAATGCCTGGTGCCTTGACCAGATTTTTCACACGAGTTCTCCAGGACCAAACTCTGGTCTTCATTCATGCCAGCGTGGCAAGCACTTTATAGACTGAGTTCCCAATTTTAAAAAATCATTGTATTTTGTTTTCTCTCTCTCTCTCTCTCTCTCTCTCTCTCTCTCTCTCTCTGTGTGTGTGTGTGTGTGTGTGGGTGTGTGTGTGTGTGGGTGTGTGTGTGTGTGGGTGTGTGTGTGTGTGTGTGTGAGTCTGTGTGTGTCTGTGGGTGTGGGGGGGTGCCTGTGAGTGTGTGTGTGTGTGTGTGTGAGTCTGTGTGTGTCTGTGGGTGTGGGGGGGTGCCTGTGAGTGTGTGTGTGTGTGTGTGTGTGTGTGTGTGTGTGTGTGTACAGCACAGCATAGCATAACTTTTGAGGGTAGAAGTCAGAGGTCAACTTTCAAGAGTCAGTTTTCTCCTTCCACCATGTGCTCCAAGGAAGGAATTCTGGTAGACAGGGATAGTACCAAATGCCTTTATCCACTGGAGCCATCTTGCCAGAACCACAAACTTTTTTTTTCTTTTTTGGTTTTTCGAAACAGGGTTTCCCTGTGTAGCTTTGGAGGCTGTCCTGGAACTAGCTCTTGTAGACCAGGCTGGTCTGGTCTCAAACTCAGAGATCCACCTGCCACTGCCTCCCAAGTGCTGGGATTAAAGGTGTGCACCACCAACGCCTGGCCCCTCAATCTTTTTTTATGATGACATTCCACTATTAGATTCCTAGCCCTGGAAGTAGAAATGTTTTTTTTTTCTCTGTTTTAACCAAAACATGCATCTTGTTTACTACAAGCACATTTTGCCCGACTGGATCATAGACTTTGGGCTTGTCTGTTCAGCACTCAGACAATGTCCACTAAAAACAGGGGTTGGCACACTGACTATATGAAAAAAATCCCTCCACACAACACTCTCCAGGACGAGCTCAGTGGAAGAGTTGAGTCACTGTGAGTGGGAATAGTCAGGAAATATTGTTATCTGTGAATGGGGGATCAAACAGCAGGGTCACATGGTATTTGACCTAGAGTGTGATGAGGCAAACAATCCTCAGATAAGACTGCGTGAAATGGGTCTCTGGAAAGCTACAATTTACAATCCAAAAGCCACAGAGGAAACTTAGTAAAAACAACTGTCCACAAAGCATGCAAGCCAATGTGCACTCTCCCAGACTCAGGGGACAGAGAAACACCCACTGCCCTCTCTGGTGGCTACACAGGACAATGAGCCAGGGGAAAGTAGCAGTTCTTAGGGGTGGGGGGAGTGACTGTAGATTCCTCTACTTCCTTCGGGGAAATGAAGGAACTTGTGTTCTCTACGTGGGCACAGCTGAGACTACACCTGACAGGACTTGGCCAAGGGCTCATTTTGTCTTTCTCCCAACCCTTCTCCTCCAGGAAAGACATACACAGGAAGAAGCCCCCTCATGCCCCTGTGAAACCAAGGAATACCCCATGTGAATTAAAGGCATGACATTTTCTAGCAATGAGCCATAATAAAGTAAGAGAGGTAAAAAATAATCTACAAGTTTCTTAGTAGCTATAAAATAATTAAATCACAACAACATAAGCAATTAATAACCAAAATAAGTAATTAGTAATGAGTAATTAGTTATGAAAGCCATCGGCAGGGATTGTGGTTACTCCTCCCCATGTCAACTACTAAGAACTAGGGACTAAGGACTAAATTTTCCATCATAGCCAGGACACCCCAAATCTGCCATGGATGACACAGACTCTCTAAGACACAACTACCTTATTTTTTGTATGTGTGTATGTACATGTGTGTGGTTGTATGTGTGCATGCATGCATATGTGTACATGAAAGCCAGAAGACAACCCTTGAGAGTTGATTATATATATATATATAGCCTGAAACTCACCAAGTAGTCTAAGCTGGCTGGCTGAAGAATGCCAAGGTTGTTTGTCTCTGCCTCCCCAGAACTGAGATTAAAAGTGTGTGCCCAACTCTTTATATATGTAGGTCCAGGGGTTGAACTTGGGTCCTTAAGCTTGCAAGGCAAGCAAGCACTGGTCTGACTGAGCCATCTCCCCAGGACAATTGCCTCATTTTGAAAGTGTTGGCAACCCTATCTTGAAAAGCAGCGGTTGTTACTATCTAAGAGGATGTGGATAAAATTATTGGCCAACCAGGCACTTCCAAGACTAAGTTTTGCTCTTAATAATTAATCTGTTTGTTCATTGTACAAATATGTACTGTGCTCAGTGTTATGTTGGAGTAGGAAGCACCCCACCCCCACCCCACAGGCTCATGTGTTGAAGGCCAAGTGTCCAGTTGGCAGTGCCACTTTTGGAGGTGGTGGAAACTTTGTGGCTGGGTTGCAGGAAGTAGGTCCCTTGAGAGTATAGAATTTGAGGGGTATCTGGTCTGTGGCAGAATTCTGTCTTGATTTCTGTTTCCAGGCCACCATGGGGTGATCAGCTTCTGCCACATGCTCCTGACACTAATGTGTCTTCTTGTCTTGATGCCAACTTACAAAGCCATTTACAACTGTAAACCAAAGTAAACACCTCCTCATAGTAAGGAAAAATGACTAAGGCACTGTGAACGTGACATCACAATGCTGTGACCGCAGGAAAGTTGGGTGACAATGTCAAAGGCAAGGCCTCTGTGTCCAAGAAGCTCACAGTCTCACAGTGGGGGTACAGGTGGAATCTGTGACAAACACATACTAAGCCAGGCGGGGTGAAGTGCCAGGAAAGAAGTGAGGGGTCGGAGGCTGATGCCATCCTCCCAGGAGCTCTCTCCCATGGTGGCTACACCAACTCATTAGCGCCCCCCAGCAGTGAACACCTTTCCATGTTACCTGCACAGTGGAGTGCAGAAACGCCACTGTGTAGAGCATGGGCTTCCACATGGGTAAGTTACTGATGTCCAGGAGGTCTTGGTTGATTCCAGCGAATGTCCTTTTCAGGCCTGCCCGCACGCCTTGAGGTGGTTCATTTGTGAACTTGAGAGAAGTCTGTCGTGAGAAGCAGTTGCATTACTCTTACAAAGTACTGTAAAGAATGCAATTTGAAATCATGGTATGGGGGTTGGAGAGATGGCTTTAGTGGTTAAGAGCACTGGCTGCTCTTGCAGAGGACCCTGGTTCAATTCCCAGCACCCACATGACAGCTCACAACTGTCTATAACTCCAATCCCAAGGGATTTATTGCCCTCTTCTGGTCTCCAAGGGCACTGCATGCCTGTGGTACACATACATAAATACAGTCAAAACAATCATACACATAAGATAAATCAATTAAATAATAAAAGAGAAACCATGTTATGTTAGGTAACAACATGCTTATAGCATAGAGTTTGTAAGCCTGAATTCAGCAGAGTGAAAGCCAATTACATTGATTGGAGAACAAACCCAATAAATTAACATGGCCTGATGACTACAGTCAAGATTAATACACCCTGCTGTGTTCCCTCATTTAAAAATTTTATGACATTTATTTATTTATTTATTCTTTGGGTGGCCCAGCACCTGCCATAATACATATATGGAGGTCAGAGGAGAACTTGTAGGAGTCTGTTCTTTCCTTCCCCCATATGGGTTCTGAAGATCAAACTCGGGTTTGCAGCAATTTTGGTGGCAAGCACTTTTATCAAGGAACCATCTTGGCCTTCCCATCCACCCTTCAGTACTGTCAATCATGAGTCATGCTGTGGACCTGGTTAACTATCGGTAACAAACCTGGAGTAATGTAATTGGAAATCGGTCGTGGGGTTCAGTGGTTATCCATACTCGGAAAGAGTCCTCCATGGTTTCTGTGGTCATTAACGTCTCTAGTAATTCTTCCATGAATTCTAGACCAAGGTGACAGTTTTGCAGTAATACCCAACCACCCTGTATCCAAAAACAGAGAGTCCATATTTATTTCTCATATCTTGTGGACTATTTTACCAAAACAAAATGCACCATTTCAAAAATAAATTTGCTTACAGCATGATTTTTTTGAGACTACATGTACCAATTTAAAAATATATATATGTCAACACTGTCATCTGTTCCTGGTCCAATTTTGTGACTTGGAGTTGAGTGACTAACAAATGACAACACTGCATTCTGGCACCCCTGGCTCCTCAGAGATTAGAAATGAAAACTTGAGTGTGTGCGCCATCTAATGGTAAGGTTGGTGACTTGCACAGGCTTGCCTAAGGTATGTCGGAATCCACTCAGCCTCAAACTAAGGAGACAGCTTCATAGTTATCCATAAACGTGCTCGTCACCTTCTGGAAGTCAGGGGTAATGTATATGGTAGCATTTGCTAGCCAAGTTCTAAATCATATTGTTTGTCATCACTTTTCGAAAGGATTCCTGAAAATGTGGTTTATTAAGTTCCACCTAAATAGTTAAATATAGCACTTATAAAATTAAGTCAGAGACTATCACTCCCCTGTGAAAACAAGACTGTCCACTCCTCTGTTGAGTCAGTGCCTGACTCTATAGTCCAGGCTGGCCTTGAACTCACTGTGTAGCCTAGGCTAGTCTTGAACTCTCAAGTCTCTTTCTTCTGACCTCCAAGTACTGAAACTACAGGTACTAATCACTGTGCCCCCCTAAGTCAACATTTAAATATGTAGATGGAACTAGAGTAGACAAGAAAACTACATCTGCAAACTGTTAAATGCACCAAATGCATGATAAAGTATTTAAAACTCGATTTCAACTGGAAGGAAAGAGATCCGAGTCAGACTGGCTTAAATAGCAAAGAGAATACAGTGGGCTTACAGAGAGTAACCTAGGAGAAGATGGAATTCAGCATCAGGGACCTAGCACTTTCTGGTCCTTTACTCTGCATTCAGTAACATCAGATGTGTTTGAAATCTGGGGTTCCCAAGGTCACATTACAGCCACACTTGTAATTTTTTTGTTTGCTTTTTTTCTTTCTGATGTTATTATCAATACATTGTGAAAAACAGATGTGGAACTAGCAAAAACTATCATCCCAAAGAAGGCTAAAATAAATGCAATATTTAAATTAAAAGTTTTCACAATCACTGAAACTAAAAAAAAAAAAAAAATCACTTTTGCCCAAAGTAGAACAGACAAATCACCCAAAAGGGTGGACGATTTGACTCAAGTAGAAATAATCGCACACCATTGACTTGATATATAAATTAAATATAATTTATTTTTGAATTTAATTAGGTGATAAAGATTAAGGCTTAGGGCACTTGAGAATTAATGACCAGCTTGAAATTTTGATGACCTAAGTAGAGCTTTGGACCATTAACCCTCACTGGTCATTAATTCCCAAGGAAAAGCCATGACAAAGTCGCCACAGACATGATGAGATCAAACACTTAAAAACAAACCAAGATTTTTGTCTTACTTTTATAAATTATGCCCTTTCTTATTACAGCTGAGATGGCTATCTGCAAAGCATTTCTAGAAAGTTAACGGTCTGTGTATTTATTAGGCACAACGCCAACTGCTTCTCAACATTCCACTTCAATAAAAATCATCATCAATGTTTAAGCAGAAAGTTCTCAACTATTTCTTATTTGCCTGAAATGATCCATTAACAAAATATGAAAGCCTGCCTTTAACTGAAAATTGAAATTTAACTGTCCTGATTTGTCCCTTATATTAATAGTGACCACAAAATTCCAAGATGACTGGAGCTGTAACCTTAGGAGTCAGATGATGTGCCTTCCAGATTGTAAATGGATGGATGGATGGATGGATGGATGGATGCATGGATGGAAAGATACAGAAAAACAAAGGTGAATATGGACCATAGAAAACAGAAAGCTTGAAAAGGGCACAGAAAACAGTCCTTTTTATAGAGCTACGAGGAGGAAACTGCCTTGAGATGTAAGGTTCACAGATAATGAAAGGTTTGGCTGTGCATCAACAAGAATGGAAAATGAGCATCAGAGGAAAGATGCTTCCAATCACCACGACCTTCCAAGTTGGACCAGATGGATGGAGGAATTGCAGTTCTTGGTCAAACAGCAGAGATTACTGGTTACATACCTGTAGCATGGACATCTGAACTAGCTTTCGAGCATGCACTTCTTGCCCTTGTCCCATTGAGATAGTTCTACACTCTGTAACACAAGAAGGTCACAATGACAAGGTGAAAATTTTACCACTTTCTCCTTCCCTCCTTTCCCCTAAGGGCCCAGCTTTCCATGGTGCTGACCAGAAAATGTACCGCACAAGGAAATGGAGACACCAAAAATAGGGGGTTGGATGCTAGAGCAAAAGACACAGGTTGGACTTCAGAAGAACGTACATGCGTATGCATGCATTTGAGTATCCATGCATGTGTGTTCACGTGTTCATACATGCACATACATGTGTTTATGTGTGCATATGTGAGCACATGCATGTGTGTGTGTCTAACATGGGGGTCTTTCATTTTGCTCTATTGATTTGTTTACATGCTTTTAGCCAGTTGCACACTGATTCAATTATTGCCATTTGACAAAGCTTTAAAAACTTAGGAGAGTTCATTTCCAATTGCTGCTTTTCCTTTTCATGCTTTTGTGGCTATTCTTGTCCATCTATGCTTCTGATGATGTAATATCTTCCTCAGATCCAATTAGGGGAAAATGATGCTTGAATTTCAATTAGACTTACATTCAGTTTATGGACTAATCTATAAAATATTGACATCTTTACAATATTGAATTCTTATGCTGGGAATCTGTCTTAACTCTATTTATTTGAATTAACTTTGTATGTCACTGAGAAAGTTTTATGTTTTTCTTTAAATGGGCATTTTAAAAATGACCCATTTCATCTTTATTGCTAAGTTAATGGAATTTTTACATTTTATTTTTTATAAGAAAGCACAATTGATTTTTTTAAAAAATATGTTGTGAATAGTCACCTTACTGAACTGTTCTATTAAGTAGGATAATTTTCATTTGATTCATTTGTGGTTTTAAGCTGGGTGATTACATTGTCTGAGAGAAATGGTGGCATTTTCTGTCCCGCCTTTTCAGTAGTTACATCTTTTATTTATGATTCTCACAATACATTAGCTATATCTTCCACAAGGATATTTAACCACCATGGCAGTGGACAGACATCTTTGTCTTGAATCTGACTTTAATGGGTATGTCTCAGTTGCTCACCAGCGAGTCTGTGGCCGATGCTTACAGTGCATTTATCACTTCACAGGGTATTCTGTTCCCAACTTTGCAAAGTCAAAAATGAATGTGGAACTTTTTTTAAAAAAATGCTTTTACTATCTTTAGTGTGTGTGTGCACATGTCCCATCTGTCTATCTGTGTGTTAGTTTGTGTGTCTGTGCATATGCCCAATCCTGGAGGTCGGGGGACAACTTGCTGGAGTTGATTGTCACCTTCTACCTTTATGTGAGTTCTGGAGATTGAACTCAGATCATCAGGCTTGGCAGTAGACACCTTTACCTGCTGAGCCCTCTCACTGACCCTAAAATGCTTTCCTATTCTTTCTGAAGTAAATGAATCAACTCTGCAAGTACAGCTATCGAGACTTTATAAAACAATGCCAACAACACCCAGATTCCCTGAGTATGTGGGAGATTAAACAGTTCCGTTCACAGGACAGTGCAAGCCTGGTACTGTGTCACCATCCTTGAGCCCCCTGACTCCATCATTGCTGCCATGCTTAGGCGCTACAATGCCATGCCCTGAGATAATATTCCTCTATCTCCTACTGGTAATGAAGAAATACATCTAATATCAAGAATGTGGTGCTTCCTTGCAGGGGGTCAGGGCTGGAGAGATGGACAGGATCCACGTCCAGTCCCCAGAACCCACATCAGGCTGTTTACAACTGCCTGTAAGTCCAGCACCATAGAATTCAACACCTTCCTCTGGTCTCTGTGGGTACCCACATTCACACACACACACACACACACACACACACACACACACACGAACACATAATTAAAAATAAAATGACATTGTGAGGAGTGCAGTGCTTTCTCCAGAACCTGTGCAGCTCTGAGCCCATGTCCACAGTTTATTTCTATACGATGTGGTTACAGTTGTCTTGTTCGGTTATGCTCCAGCTGTGTTCTGTTTATCCCCCAACCACTGTGCAACTCATGGCTAAATTGTTATTGAGTAAAAGCATGAACAAATGAGTCCCTGGTCATCACACATTACAACACTGGTTCTAGTTTTTGAGTTTGTGACAAAACACGCTTCAGTGTCATTGTACATAAACATGGTGGCAGCAGATGATTGCCCCTCATGGCTCTTGCTACCTGCTGCGCACCGGTACAGCCATCTGCTAATCAAACAATCTGTGATAGACATAGCTTCATCCCTGTCTGCTCAAAAAGACACCTGGGCCTCAGGTGCAGCTGAATAAAGGGGAGGAGGAAGCTTAATTTTTGAATATAGCTTTGTTTCATAGACTATTTTTCTCCTCTTTCTTTCTTTTTATACAGGGGCTCACTATATAATCCTGGCTGGCCTGAGACTCACTGTGTAGACCAGGGTAGCCTTGAACTCACAGAGCTCTGCCTACCTCTACCTCTGGAATGCAGAGTTAAAAGTTTGTACCACCAAACCTGGCCACAGACACTTTTTTTCTAACAATCACCCTGTAGGGTGATATTTGGAGCAAACACAGGTGTGCTGTTAAATTTCATAGTCAGATGGTCAGTCATACCCAGCTTCAGCTTTTTGGCCAGTGCATCAATCTGGATGGTGGGGTCAGAGCCCATGGACAGGAAACAAATCAGAGGCGTGTGGGTATCGCTTTCTTCCCACGTCTTCTCCAGATTCAGGATAACTGGTTCTGTGTACTTATCCTCGAGAGAGTCTGCGATGTATTTTCTTGCTTGGAAAACAGTGCGGTCTGGGCACCAAGATCTTGAAATGAATTTTAAAAAAATTAGAGGAAGTAAGTTCATCATGCTCCCCCCCCATCTCTCATTCTCAAGGTGCAAAGATCACACATTTAATTAACAAAGGGATAGCAGGCAAATACTCCCATCCACGGGCTGGGTAAGAGGGGTGGTACACTCCACTCTCCCTGGATGAGCACAGATGTAATCGTGTGAGGGTTTGGTGCCAGGCACTGGCAAGGAGCAGGGTAGAGTTCTCTGCCAGCCCTGGTCCTCAATGGAGGCTGACCTGCCATGGACCTGAAGCTCTGTTGTCTTCACAGAGAGTGGAGGTGCCAAAGAGGCCAGAAGGAAGCTATCAGCAAGCATCTGGGTTAGAAGTATTTGTATGTCACACACCCAAACAGGTACACACACACACACACACACACACACACACACACACACATCAAATAAATAAATGTCGGACAGTTGATCATTTAGATTTGAGACTCGCTGTCTCTCAAGCAGATTCCCACTTAGCAGTTAATGACACTGCTCATGTGACATGGGTCTAATTTTAAAATGATGGCTAAAAGACAAATGTGCCTATTTCAATGAAAATAAGTGACCCTTTCATACTCTGTTGAGCAGGGGGGTCACCACTTCGGCCACTCTGATCACTGTCATGGGTGACAACAGTTAGCAAACATCATTTCCAATGCCAAGCTCAGGTATGCGACATTAGGAAACATAAAACTTCCCTAAATAACCCACCTCTTCTCTCTCTCTCTCTCTCTCTCTCTCTCTCTCTCTCTCTCTCTCTCTCCCTCTCCCTCTGTGTGTGTGTGTGTGTGTGTGTGTGTGTGTGTTCATGTGTGGAGGTCATGGTGCCTTTTCTAAGGCACTATCTGTACTATCTGCCTTGCTTTAGTTTTGAGGCAGGGTCTTTCCCTGGCTCATCAACTATGGTTGGCTGACTGCCCAGCAAGCCCCGAGCTTCGTCTTGGCGTTGCCTACCCAGCACAAGCATTAAAAGTACATACTTCAACATCTGGCTTTTATTTAAAAAATTATTTTATTGCTGCTGATGTTTGGCAGGTGTGGGTATGTGATGGGAGGCATGTGTGCTGTGTGTGTGCATTGTGTGTGCATCAGGATACATGTGTGAAGGTCAGAGGGGAACTTGTGTAGTCATTCCTCTCCTTCTCCCTTAATGTGGGTCTAGGGCTTGAACTCCGGTCATCAGGCTTGCAAGGCAAGCACTCTTACCCACTGAACCATCCCCCTGGCTCCAACACCCGGCTTTTAAAATGTGGATCCTGAGGCTCAAACTCAGGTCCTCACCTGAACCATCTTCTCAATCCTTGTTAATATTTGGTACTCTCGTTTCCCTATAACTTTACTAACCAGTCATAGAATAAGTCATGAAGACTTTCACACTTTTGAGAGTGTGAGTACATGTAACAACACACACACACACATACACACACACACACACACACACACACACACACACACACACACACACACATTGATTTTTTTCCATTAGAGAAGCCTCTCTGAGCTATGAGATACACCAAGGAAATGTGAAGATTAACAAGGTAACTGTTCTTTCTTAACATCAATTTAAAACCTTTGTTACACATTTCAACACTGCAGCATTTTTTACTTTCCCCCCTCAAATGAAACTGAGTTTTAGCTTCTGAGCCAATTCCTTGTAAAGCTTGTTTTTAAATTTCATTTTGTGTGTATGTATATGTAGGTGTGCTTGTGTGTGTGTGCATGTGTGTGTGTGTGTGTGTGCATGTGTGTGTGTGTGTGTGTGTATTTGTTTGTGCACAGCCACAACAAGAGTGGGAAGATCAGAGGATAACTTGCTGGAGTTGGTTCTCCTTCCACAGTGTGGGTCCAGGGAATCAAACATGGGTGGTCAGGTTTGGCAGCATGCACTTTTACCCACTGAAGCATCTCACCTGCCCAAGTTCTATGATTTTTTTACAGAGGTAAATTCAATAATGAATGATTGACCCAGTATCAAATGGATACAGGAGACATGAAAACATTTTCTTTCCTGTTTTTGCTAAAAACACTATTGCTAATATAGTGTTGAAACAGACCTCTCTCCTGCCATCATTTACCGCAAGCTGCTTCCCCATACAACACACAGACCAGTGGGGACGTGATGATGTTGACTGCCGAAGTCAGACCTGTGATGAGGTCCAGTGAATTATGTTTCCAGGTATTGATGGCCCTGTGCTCACCTGATGAGCAGAAGTTTGCGGCAGGTATCCAGGGAATCATTATATCCATCAGGAATGATCTCCTCCTCCGGGGCGTCTTTATCGAACCAGTTTTTCCACCCCTTCTCATTCCGAGATATCTAAGAGTAAAAAGCCAATAACCAAGCCACAAGACAGCATAAGATAGGGATGTACCAAACTTTCCAAAGGACCCCAGACAGCCACTCTTGCTGGTTCTTAGCTTACAAAGCAAAAAAACCCACCACTGTCTACTATGGCCCGAGTAACACAGATATAGTGTAACTATTGTTTTCAGTTTTGTTAATTGCCTTCCTGGGTTGTTCACTGCAGTTGGAATAATGTATCAGTGACACAGGATGACAACAGATCAAGGTTTCTCAATGGTGACACTTATTGACACTTGGGGATGGACATTTTTATAAAGTGCTGGGCTGTCCTGGGCACAGTAGTGTAACCATATTGGCAGACACTTGTGTTCCTCCCTATGGTTAACATACTTAACCATAGATCCCTAGAAGCTGGAATTTTACCCAGGAGTCTCATGCTAGGAGAAGGAAGGGCTGAGGCCCTGGAAGCCGTCAAAGGAATGTGCCTCATGTGGAATGATTCACAACTTGTTAGGCTACCTTGCAGCAGACACTGGAGCTGACACAATGGTGGAGTCAGTAACGGGCAAAATGACACTGTGAGCTGGCCTCTTGGCTTCTACAGTTTATACCTGAACCCTATAATCATACCTCTAAAGACAGACTGGGAGCAGGGAGTCACTAGGTCTCTTTGTTCCTCTTCCTAGTATGGTTACACTGTCTCATTTTTCTGCTTTTCACTATTGATTTTCCTCTATAATTGGCATATTGGGACAGGCAGTTGAGTCTGTGCTCACTATGGTGACAGTGAGAACATGCTCTCACCCTGATCACTATGGTGACAGTGAGAACATGTTCTAACCCTGATCACTATGGTGACAGTGAGCACAAACTCTTACCCTGATCACTATCCGCCCTCATCACTATGGTGACAGTTGAGAAGATGCTCTCACCCTGATCACTATAGTGACAGTGAGCATGCTTCTGCAGGCAGCATCTCCAGCCTCTACCCACTAGATGCCAGTAGCATCCTTGCCTTCGAGTTGGAATGATCAAAAACATCTCCAGACACTGCCACATACCCTGCTGGGGGTGGCACAAAATTATCCTCCACTGAGAACCTCAGATGTAGACCAATTCCCCTGAATGGTGATCTCTATTTAAAAATAACACAAGAAGCCAAAAATCCAAACTTTTATTTTCCTAGAGAGACTTTAAATCAGAGAGCAGGAGAAGTCTCTCCGAGTGGGTCTCAAGTAGCTGCTCATCGGAACGCATGCAGGGGACCTATGGGGTTCAGAGCATTAAAAGGCACCCCTGCTGCCCAAGTGCCATTGAGTCTAATTATAAACCCTGCACTGCTGAGCCTGGCCCATAATCTCAGCAACTGCCAGGCGGGGTCCTCGGAAGATGGTTTGTCGGCACTTTTGAGAAACCTATGGTGAGCATTAAAAGCAGACGGCAGAAGTTCACATCTCAGATTCTCTCTCTCTCTCTCTCTCTCTCTCTCTCTCTCTCTCTCCTCTCTCTCTCTCTCCTCTCTCTCCTTTCCCCCTTTCCCCCTCTCCCTCCTTCCCCATCCTCCCAACCTATCCACCCTCTCCCTCTACCCTATGTTATATGTGTTATACACATACACATGTTTGGGAATCTGAGCCACTCAGCAGTCACAAGTCCTCATCAGGTGGCTTCTTCCATCACTCTCCATCTTAGATTTTGAGGCAGGGTCCCTCACTGAACCAGGAACTCCCCATTTCATCTGGACTGGCTGGCCCATAAGCCCCAGAGATCCTTCTGTGTTTCCCAAGCCCTGCACCAATTCTCCTGGGTTTTGTTTGTTTATTTGTTTATTTGTTTTGTTTTTTGTTTTGTTTTTTTTTAAACATAGGTCCCAAGGTTCTAATGGCAGGTCCTCATGCTTGCATGGTTAGCACTTTACTGACCAGACCATGCCACCTGCCCAACAGAGAACAGAGTTATTAACCAGCCCAGCCAATTAACTCTACAATTCAATAGCTTCACTTTGTCCTGGAGGGGTGGGGGTGGGGTCTGAAGATTACAGCTCTTCTACCTTATTCTCAGGGGTAAATCAACCAGAGGTCCTAGATATGGCTAGTATCTCTAGTCAGCTTACTCTGAAGACCCTGTAATTTGCCCTCTGGCGCTGCCAGGCCCACCTAGCATCTACCTGGGTTTCTGAAGTCTGGTTTTCTTGCTTATGTGGCAAGCGCTTTAACTCTGGAGCCATTTCTCCAGGTTATTTGATGTTTACACCAATAAGCTTACTTGCTATTTTTTAAAAGTACACTATCCTCTTGATTTGACTCCAACTCAGATTTGCAACAATTACTTCATTACAGGCAGAGGTAAAAAATGCAATAGCATTGATGCAATGGAAGGGTCCCTTTGCCTAATCCTTGTACTTCTGGATGGAACTCAAGCAGGAAAAGAGAAAGCACCCTTGGGGCTGGGTTAAGGGACTAGGCTAGAGGGGATGGGATGGGGGTGTCTGAGCTGGTAAAGTACCTGCCATGCTATATACATGAGGACCCGAGTTAATCCCCAGCACCCATGTAAAAAGCTGGTCCTGGTGGCATGTGTTTGTAATTCCAATCCCAGGGAAGTAGAGACAGCAGATCCCTGGGACTCTATCCCAGACAACCTACCCTACTTGGTAAGGAAGATGGTTGGAGCCAGAAGAACGACACCCAAAGTTAACCTCTGGCTCCTACATGCATGTGCCTACCCATGCATGAAGACGCGTGCGCGCTCGTACACACACACACACACACACACACACACACACACACACACACACACGCACGCACGCACACACACACACCCCTGTCCACCAGACAGAAGGAAAGCTTGTCCTGAAGCCCATGAAAAGCTCTCTTTAAAATCTGTCCATCCACATCCCACCTCCCTGGCCCAGGAGGCCACACTCTTGGCTTTAATTCAGTGGTTCACTGAACCTGTGAGTCAAGACCCCTTTGGGGATCGAATCCCTTTCAAAGGGATCACCTAAGACCATTGGAAAGTACAGATATTTATATTATGATTCATAACAGCAGCAAAATTACAGTTATGAAGTAGCACCAAAAATAATTTTATGGTTGAGGGGGTAGCCACAGCAGGAGGAACTGTATTGAAGGGTCACAGAGTTAGGAAGGTTGAGAACCAGTGATTTAATCTTTGTTCGTTGTTGCTTTCAATACAAGGGTCTCAATATGTCAGTCAGGATGGCCTGAACACCTGATTCCCCTGCCTCAGTCTCCAGAGAACTGGGATTACATGCTGGTGCCACCACGCCCATCTCCATCTATACTTGCCATTTTCCGTTCCTCTAGGGGTAGAAAGTGTCACTAGGAGGCCCTGATTAAACAACCTACTGTCTTTTGATCTGCAGGCCCGTGTTTGATTCAGTCCCTCTTCCTTTACCTGGTTCATAATCTCTGCAAACTGGGGGAGCTTACTGAGCTCCACAAGGTTCAGCCACGTCATATCCAAGATCCAGCGAAAGGGTTTGGGGGGACACGCCTTCAGGTCCAGAGCTGCTCCGCCTGGGGAGACATGCAAGACACATCCATCACACCAGATACATCCATCACACCAGCTTGCTATTCACTTTTGGAAATCTTTTTTCCCAATAACAAAAGTGAGATACCAATGAATTCTTGAATGGCTATGGTGGTTCACATTTTTGTTTAGCAACCTGAGACTTGTGAATTTTTGTTTTGTTTTGTTTTTTGTTTTTGTTTTTGTTTTTCAAGACAAGGTTTCTCTGTGCAGCTTTGGAGCCTATCCTGGCACTCGCTCTGGAGACCAGGCTGGCCTCGAACTCATAGAGATCCACCTGCCTCTGCCTCCTGAGTGCTGGGATTAAAGGCGTACACTACCACCGCCCAGCTGACTTGTGTAATTGTTATCAACAGTTAGGATGAGTTTTCTTCGTGTGACATTTATAATTGCCATTTAGTCACCACCACTCCTCCAGAAGTTATATACTCAACAATATTTCCCACCAAGTTAAATAGATGGTTAGATAGACATAGACACAGACACAGACACAGACACAGACACAGACACAGACACAGACACAGACACAGACACAGACACAGACACAGACACACAGACAAGGAGGAATATCATAGTTAGGTTGCATTCTAGTGGCAATATGTTCAAATCCATCCATCCATTCATTCATTCATTCATTCATTCATTCATTCATAATCCAGGCACTGGGCAGAAGGGGAAGCAATGACAGTGTACAGATAAGCAAGACTAAAAAGAATATGCTGAAGTTTTAGCATTGCTGTCGTGGAGCCTTCGGACTGACAAAGAATGTGAGTTATCACAGCAGTCTGTGTTTAAAAACAAATCACCAGCCAAAATGAGCATATGCAAGATGGGCACTCTTAAGCAAAATATGGGATTGTCTTTACAATTTTGAAAGGTCTTGGCTGGATGTCCTTAATGTCATTGCACTGTAACTGAAGCTCCACTATTATTAAGTCAGATGCATGCAAAACAGTGATTCTTGCACCAGCTTGGTGTATGTGCGTGAATGTGGTGCACATATGCACAACTGCTCACAAGAGGCCAAAGGGAGGCATCAGACTCCCTGGAGCTGGAATTACAGGCATTTGTGAGCTACGCAACAAGGGTGCTTGCAACTGAACTCTGGCCCTCTGCAAGAGCAGAAAGTGCTTTTAACTACTGAGCCACCCCTAATCTCACAAACTCTGATCAAACGCTTCCCTTTCACATCAAAACATACAGACCAACAAACACACATAAGGGGGTCCAGGTCTTTGTTTCCCCACTTTGCATCTTCCTGAGAAGCCATGTAAATCAAAGTGCTGCACTTAAAGAGAGAGAGAGAGAAAGGAAGAAATAAAAAGAAAAAAAGACAGAGAGAGAAAGAGAGAGAAAGGAAAGAAAAGAAAAGACTTACATAGACCCCTTTGCTCTACCACAAAAGACTTGGGGGATCTGTGGCTCTGAGAGCTGTGGCACCCTCAAAACATCAAGTAAGCCTCCATTCACTTCCTGCCTCCCTGAAACTGGGTATAAAAGGAAGCCTTGTTCTTAATCATTACTGCAAATGCAAGAGTTGATACTGAGAGAAACAGCGACCTTCAGTCCCATCAGCTGATGCTTCTCTCTACCACAGGGACGGACCCCACCCCCACGCCATTTCCTCTCGATTGTTTCCATGTGTCCATAGCTTTAGAGATGTCAGAAGACAGCTAAACTACCTCAGTGCTTCCAAGCACATGGATTCCTGAACCAAAGGGGATTCCTCCCAAAGCACCCCGGCTGTTTACCATACATGAGCATTTCCTTGGACAATGGGATCTCTCTTCTCTCTCTCTCTCTCTCTCTCTCTCTCTCTCTCTGCCTCCCTCCCTCCATCCCTCTCTCTCTCGAATTTTCTCATCTGTCAGATGAAAGTAACAGACTCTACCATGTGGTTGCTGTAAGGTTAATCAAATCTATGCCGCCATTAGTGATTATTTTGACATTTAATTTGTATCCTCCTCCTATTTTGTAAGACTCGGGGCTTATGAGCAGCTTATGAGAACCCCTGGGATTCTATAGCATAATAAAGATAATATCCTTCTAGAATAAACCAACAAGGAAACAGCTATCCATTGATCTATAGCCCAGGTTTGCCCCTGATATCCATTTCATTTTCCAAAGTGCCCTGACATCCTCAGCCAGAGAAGACAGTCAAAGGCACCTTACAAATACTGCAGAAAACAAGAAATAACTGATACCTAAGAACTGTCACTCCTGGGAAATCAAACATCGCTATGGCCATAAATACCAGTAGTTCTCCCTTGAGTATTGAGTTCACGATGATAAAAAAAATAAAGTTCATGTTATAAGAGTCTATTTGTTAACTCTATGAAAAAGCATTAAAAATAAGCCATACTATCCTTTAAGAAATAATTCCATCAAAATGTAAGCCAGTTCAAAACTAAAGCAGACTATACAATAAACCAGCTTTGTTCAGGAAATATCCCTCTTTTCTCCTGAACTGATTGCAGTTCTGTCAATCAACCTATCGGGCAATTCCAAATTAATCTTCCTAAAGCACTGCTTTGTTCCAGCCATATCCCTGCCCATAAAACACTCAAAGGCTCCCGACTGCCAACTAAATTGAACCCAAAGTCCCCATGCGGGCTGTGCTGGCCCTGTGCAATCTCGCTCTCCAGTTTGATAAAATGGGTTCACAAATATGCTCCCACCACTGCCCTGGTGAGCGCCCATCTTTATCCTGCTGTAAGGAACAACCCCTAGTGAAGAAACCCTCCCCTGTGTGTCGCTGTGTCTCAGACTCCTCTCACTCACAAACCTTCTTTCAAAGAGGTCTGTTTCTTTTGGCAAATATCTCTGGTCTGGCTGTCATTAATAAAGAGTGAAGAGACTTTGTCTGAATGGGAGGGTATCTCAGATCTGCCTGTGTCTCAGTCACAGCCTGTGTCCCTGGACCCTCTTTAACAAGCCTATAGGACTAGTAGGATGCTAGGCTGTGGTCCACATCCTAATCACCTAGCCCTGGTGAGTAGTATCCAGCACAGCATCCCCTTTTTCTGCAGTGTCTCCTTTGAATGCAGGTCTCCACTGTGTGCCAGCCTGCCCCTTATTTCCACACCACCACACTCCTTATCCAATCTTGGAACCATTCATTAAGCTACCCCCCCCCACTCTATCCATGAGCAATGCTGCCTCTGTGGTGGGTGTGGCAGCAGCTCTCATCTGAATTTTGGTGGTTTGTTGTTGTTAAAAATTATTTGGGGGGTGTGTATCAAATTCCAAGCCAGCCTCAGCTATGCAGTGAGATCCTGTATAGGAAAGAAAGAAAGAAAGAAAGAAAGAAAGAAAGAAAGAAAGAAAGAAAGAAAGAAAGGGGGAAGAGAGGGAAGGAAAGAAGGAAGGAAGGAAGGGGGCGGAATAAAGTTCTTCACCAGCTTTTCCTCACTTTTACAGCAAGTTCCCTGAGCATGGGCAAAAAATGAGGAAACCAAATACTGTAATATAACTAAAAGCACAGAGTTAGGACAAGTCCAAATTTTGGGTGAACAGAACTATATTAATGGAAATTGGAAAAAGGGCAGAGGAGGGTGAGAGGGAGATTAAGAGAACAATGCTGCTTTCATTAGGGTACCACACTGTTTCCCTTCTGCATCCCTGGGCCAGCATCATAGCACATCAAAGAGCCGATCAGAGCCAGCGTCCCCCACGCTCCAAGTCCACCCAGCCACACTCCATGCCTTTTACCTTTAATCAGGGCCTGAAACTCTCTGTGCTTGACCGTCCCTCTCTGTAGGTCGATCTTTAATGTCATGAGGAGTACAAAGAGGAATTTGTGGTTTTCATACAGGCCTCTCACTGAGTATGTAAAAACCTCATACGTCAGGTATTCGATAATATTTGTAATTCTTTTTTGAGGTAGTGGAGACTTTTCAGATCTGCAATCCATTTTTTAAAATCAAAGAGATTAAAGAAAAACAATTTCTTAAGGACTAGGAATAACAAAACTATGTGTGCATGCACACTCACGCGTGCATGTTTATGTGTGTGTTTATGTGTGTGCGCGTGTGTGTGCATGTGTATGTGTGACCAGAGGTTGACATCTGGTGTCTGGTATCCTCCTCAATCTGTCTCCATCTTATTCCTTTTTAAAGATTTATTATGTATAAGTGTTCTGTCTGCCTGTATGCTTACAGGCCAGAAAAGGGCACCAGATCTCATTACAGATGGTTGAGAGCCATCTCTCCAGCCCGTCCACATTTTTTTAAGTTTTTTTTTTATTATTTTGTGTGTGCACGCGCATGTATGCGTGCATGTGCATATGTGTGCAGTTGCCCATGGAAGCCAAAAGAGGGCATCATATCACCTAGAGCTAGAGTTAAAGGCGCTAGTAGTGAACCACCAGATGTGGGTGCTGGGAACCAAATTCCCAGTCCTTTGTAAGAGCAGGATGTGCTCTTAACTACTGAGCCATCTCTCTAGTCACCACCTTAGTTTTGGAGACAGGGTCTCTCACTAGACTTGGAGCTCATTGATTGGCTACCTTGGCTGTCCAGGGAGCTCCAGTGATGGGGAATGTATTTCTTTGTATGTTTATCTTATTAATTGTTGAATAAAATACTGTTTGGCCAATGGCAAGCAAGGACTAGGAGTCAAAGAGGATTCTGGGAAATGTAGTAGAGAAGTGATGATCCAGGCAGGAAGTGACATGGCAAGGAGACTCATATCTAAGCAAGGAAACAGGAAGTGTGTCTCTTTTCCCCTCCACTCCTGCTCCAGCAACACAATGTGATCCACTGGCAAGGAGGGACGCCAATAAGGGGTCCGATAAGATAAGTCTTATAAAATATATAGGTTTATGATAATTAAGACTGAGCTAACAGATGAGAAGTCCTAGTCATTGGCCAAGCAGCTTTGAACCTAATACAAGTTTCTGTGTATTCATTTGGGCCTAACTTGGGTGGGCGGCTGGCGTAAAGCATACATGTGGCAGTGGGGCTCAGCGGCTTTTGACAGAAAGATTTATCGTAACACTCCAGTGATCCATCCATTTCTATTTCCAAGCATGGGTTTAACAGGTGTCTGCTGCCATGCCCATGTGGGTGCTAAGAACCTGAACTCAAGGCTCCATTCGTCCATGGCAGAGACTTCATAAACTGAGCCCATCCTCCCAGCTTCCAAAAAAAACCAAAAAGCAAAATAACAACAACAACAACAAAATTTTAACTTGCCATTTTGGAACTAACGGAGGGGAAGGTGGAGAGGACTTGCCTGGCCATGGACTGGTCAAATAACTTCAGGAACTGAGCCAGTGAGGTCTGGTACATGATGTTAACCATGCTCATCTCTGTGATGAGGAAATAAAGGATGCTGCCACGGGTGGCTGCAGGCCGGAACTCCTCCTGAGCTGTGTTGATCTTGATCTCCGTTTCAGCAGCCACGTGGAGTTTTTCACTTACTTCTGCTGCTGTATGCTTGGTGATGTGCAGGACACCAATGAGAGATTCGTCGTCCACCAAGGAACCTGAGAGCCATTGGAGCAGGCACAGAAAGGAATTACTGGAGAACCAGTGGATCGTTTCAGATGCTGGCTTCTAGCCCAGAGACCACAGGAAAGAGAACTCAACACATCAAAGGGTCCCCGATCTGGCCACCACCCAGAGCCTGGATCTTTCTAGATATTCCTACTGTAGGCTCTTCATCCTCTACTCTACACTGACAACCAGAAGCAAAGACAAAATGGCAATATCTGTTTTGATTTTGTGTGTGTGTGTACATGTGTGTGTGTGTTTTCTCGTTCATTTGCATGCAGGTACATGACAACCTCAGGTGTAGTCCCTCAGAGTCTGTCCCCCTTATTTTTTGAGACAGGGTCTCTCACTTGGCCTGAGACTTACCAAGTAGGCTAGGCTGACTGGGCAGTGAGGCTCAGAAATCTGCTTGTCTCAACCTCCCCACACTGAGATTACATGCATGTATCACCATGTCTGACTTTTAAAATATGGATTCTGGTGGACTTCACTCAGGTCCATCCTCTTGCTTGGCAAGGCAAACACAGTATTGGCTGAGCCACCTCCCTTCCCCAATGGGTTCAAATGTTTTAAGACAATGACCATGTCTCCTGCAGTATCAACATCACCTGTGAGATCTACTTTCACCCAATTATCACCTTGCCAAGTTTCCCCAAGGTATCTTCAGGTCATATATTCTGTGCCTCAGTGTATGAGCTGATGCAAGCACTGTACCCAGGCTGATGAGCTGGCAGATGAGCTGGACATTCTCTCCCCACTTCTTGAGGGAAGGAGTCCTTGTTAGGGATAACCAAGGTCATACTCTATGCCTCTAACAAGAATAAACTGGGATATAGTGTGTCTCACCAAGAAAAGCCGCCCTAATTTTCTGTTTTCTTTCATTATTGTTTTTAATGGAAATAACACATTCATCACAACATATCCCATTTAGCTCATGGGCCCCACATTCGCAAACAGCAGTGCCATGGAAGTTCTGGGAGATTGATAGGTGTCTGGAAAGGCTGAGCGATTTTGGCTAACAGGCCATGTCTAATGTGAGAGCCAAATGTCATTAGCCTTATAGTAGGAAGGCCTTTCTTAGCTAGCCAAGGAAACCAGCCCTTGGCTCAGCTTGCAAACATTCAGAACAGGCAGGAAAAGTCGCTGCATCCTGCAATCAAGAGACGCATGACATCCCCAGCAAAGGCAGAGGAATGAAGACCTGCTTTCCACTGTGTCCGCTGTATGCAGGCATGTAGGTGTGTATGTACATGTGTGTTTGGGCCATGCCATCCCATAGCCAGAATCACAGCTCCCGTTTTAGGTTTTTATTTGGGAACAAGCTCTCATTAATACAGTCCAAGCTCCTCTCACATTCTCAATCCCTGTGCCCCAGCCTCCCATATAGCTGGGGCTACAGGTGTGTGCACCCACTCCTGGCCTTGAGGGCATCCTCACGAAATCCTCACTCTAGGATACTGAGGTTTTGTTTTCTTCTAACCCAGGGATTCAAGTGACAATGGAATGGACTCATAAACAACTACTAATACATGGTGGAATTTAACTGGGCTGCTGTGATTTGATAAGACTGCTGCTGTGTTATTGGTTCTCGTTTCTTTGCATAAAATTTTGGGGTTTATTTGTTTGAAGCCAACATCTTGCCATGTAGCCCTGACTGGCCTGGTCCTTTCTATGTAGCCCTGGCTACCTTCAGCAATCCTCTTGCCTCATGTGCTCCTCCCAAGGCCTAGAATTACAGGTCTGCACAGAAAGTCTTTTATTCTTCAATGTATTACAGAGTAGGCACCTCCTCCAACTGGGGTGTGGTATAATGATTCTGGCTACCCAGAGGAGATGGTACCCTGACTTCTAAGTGGGAGACATCTGAGATGAGCCAGGCCCTCAGGCAGCCACATTTTCTTGATTCCAAATGGCATGTGTTGTACGTGACCCATCATAGCAGCTTCATTTCAATGCTAAATGAAAGAGTTGATTGATAAAAATAAAATAAAAATAAAAAGGATGGGACACACGAGTGTCCATTGGGAAAGCAAATGAGGCCATCATGAGCTCCTGGGTTCCGCTTAGGAGCCCTTGTTTTTCTCAGGAGAGTGATTATATCAAGTTGGTACTAGTCTCATCCGCTGACTCCAGTTGCTAATTCAGACATCAGATCCTCTGTGATGATTCTGTAATGTCTACATGGAAAACACCCCACTTGTTTCTGCACTGGGAAGTCGACTATTTCCTCACATCTGTGGTCATGGCGGCACTGAAGGGAGTGCAAGCAAACGAACTCCTTCCTCAATTGCCTCTTAATGACATGGTACCTTGCGTGGTGCTCAGTTTATACAGCAGGTTATCCTCAAGCTCCTTCATCTTCCGCTTATTGAAAGTAACGTCCTCTAGAAGCTTAACCCTCTCCGATTCCAACTCCTGTTATTAAGACATAAACAAAAGAACCTGTCACAGGTGCTTACAGAAAACCAACCAAGCTGGTATTTTATTAGAAACATCAAAGGGTTAAACAAAATTGTGTTTTGAATAATGAAGGAGACGATTATCATTAGTAAAACAAGTTTATATTTTTGTTTCTCTGGATAATTGAGAAAACGATGCCCACTGGCACTAACATTTCCTGGTTCTTCGGCTGAGAGATGGCCAGTTGTTAAAATGCCTCATGTAGAATCATGAAAACCTGAGTCCAGGTCCCCAGAGACTCTTGACTCCTAAACACTCTGCTGAGTCTCCTGAGAATCAGGACATTGTCCTCCTGCAGTCAAAGTCCTCTCTTCAAGCCCGGGATGTTTAACAGTGACAGACATTCTTATAGAGTCTAAATGAAAGTGTTCTTAATAATAGTTATCTTGCTCATAGTTTTTTACCTACATGAAGGGGCACGCATTGTACATATGTATGTTTTTGCATGTGTTGGGGCTCCAGCATGTGTGTGGGTGTGCATGCAAAGGTTGATGTTTGGAATCATCTCGAACTGCTCATCTACCTCAATCATGGAAGCAAAGTTTCCATTAAACCCAGAGATCACAGATAGGGTTAGTTTTGCTACCCAGAAGGTGGGCAGCCCTGCCCTTCTTGCATTTCTGGGGATCTGAATTCTCCAAGTACTTTAACCCCAGAGCCACCACCCTGGCTCCACATCCCAGAAATCTGACATTGATAGAGTCTAAATGAAAATAACTTTAACTGTGTGTGTGTGTGTGTGTGTGTGTGTGTGTGTGTGTTGTTTTGTTCTTGAGACAGAGTCTCCTGTAGCCCAGGCTGGCCTTAAACTCACTGAGGAGCTCAGGGTGACCTTGAACTTTTCATTCTCTGGTTCCCACCTCCCTGGTGCTGGGATTACAGGCTTGTGCTTATGAACACACACTGTTTATGCATTGGACTTGAGGATTTTGTGCATGCTGAGCAAGAGCTCTACCAACTGAGCCACATCCTAGCCCTCTGCGACACTCTTCCAGCAGTTTTTCCTCATCTATATGCAGAATCACATTTTGTATTTAGAATTATATTTCAAGGTAAATCAAAGTGCTAACTTAAGAACATTCCTTGCAAAACTGCTTTGGAAACCCCACTAACTTTAGAAGTCTTCTGAAAGCAAATAGATGATCAAAAGCTATATTCCGACACCTAGTCAAACGTCTTTCATGACTTCAATCAGCCTGCCTATAGATTATTTTCATGCATAATTTGGCATCTACCAGGCGGGAGCTATAAAATTCTTGAGAGCACCCACTTTGAGGCTTGGCAGAGCCGAGGCCTCACCCAACAATGTGCTGACTTTCACTCACATTCTTATAGCATATCTGGGGAAGGCAAAAACCCCTGCACGGTATCCCAGGGCCACACACAGCTAGTCATTGCAGAGATGGACCTAATAGCCTGTCCTCAAACCCTGATTAGTGTCCCTGCCATCCTACTGTGGGGTTTGCTGGGGTGATGAGGAGTGTGGCTATGCTCACAGGAGACTAGTTAAAGAACTGTTTCCATTGAAATGACCATCCCTGGGGATGGAGAGGTGGCTGAGCTGGTGAAGCACTCACTACCCAGGCATGAGAACTAGGTCCTGACTCCCCAGCACCTGTGTAAAAACCTGGGCTTGGTGGAGCATGCCTGTAACTGCGGTGCTGGAGAATAGGAGACAGGGATCCCAAGGGCTTGCTGGCCAGTTGGCCTGGCCTAACTGGCGAGTTTCAGATTCAGTGATGGAATCTGTCTCAAAAAATAAGGTGGAGCATAATCAAGGAAAACACCTGACATTGGTCTCTGGCCTTCACATGTACATATGTACATGTGCAATATATGAACACACACCTTCACATGTATATATACGCATGCACATATACATACCTCAACATGCACATACATGAACACACATGTAGGAAAACTCAAACAATGAAAGCACACTCAATCCCTTTTTAATACACTAGGGAAGGCAGGTGTCATGGTACAATGGACCTTTTGTTCAGCTCCCAGGGAGCTTCCAGGAGGCTTGGGAAACGCACATGTTGTCACAGAGGGAGACAGGCCCTCATCCTCTCTGGCCTCTGGAGGGTCTGTAGAAGCTATCAAGAGGGGACACTCTGCTTGTGAAGCTTGTCATCAGTGCTGCCCAGCAAGGCTGGTCCAAGCATGCCAGTGGGTGTTTTAAAGAGGAATCAAAGTTAAGAAGAGGGATATGGGGCACTGTAGAGACCTTGGGGTAATACAGCCTCATGGGAGAGCTACACCAATGAGAAACCATTCAAAATAGGTCAACAGCACTGTTCGACCCCAGGGGACTTGTTTTCAACAACTGACACCATGTGGACCTGAGAGGTGCTGGAGGCAGACAACTGGAAGGCTAGGGGTTTTGATGGTCTGCCGCTTGGGGGGAACCACTTCAGGTAAGCAAGTAGGATGCCATTGCTATTGCGTTCATAAAGGAGAGTTGGTGTCATGTCCCTTTACCCTCGGAACTATCTCTTCTCTTCCCACGGCCCTCCACCCATCCACCCTCCTTTCCCCTCTTCCCGTCATTCTCTTCCTCACTTCCCCCTGGACTATCTCTTCTCTTCCTCACTTCCCCTCCCCCAACTTATGTCTCTTTGCTCTTATTATCTCTCACCGTGCCTTTTCCTTCAATACTAAAATGAATTATATCAACGTAAGTGTACATGATCTTGTGCTTTATGCAAATGTAGTTAATATATGCAAATATATTTTGAGCATAAAGTTGAATTTTCTGAAAGTCTTAAAAGATACTTTGGTCTCATATCTAGCTCTTAAAATATTACAGGCCTAAGGTGTTCTTTGCTTCACCAATGCTCTTAGTTATACCTAATTGATTCCCCCCTCCAATGCAAATTTCATTTGAAATATTGTTCCCTATATTATTACATCATTACACTGTGCTATCTGAAATCCCAGGATTTCCTCTAGGATCATGTTTTATGAAATTTTTCAGGTGCCTCAAGACAATCCACAGCACTATGGATTGAAATGTGAAGAATCAATACACCCAAAGAAGAGAAGTGTGTGTGTGAGTGTGTGTGTGTGTGAGAGAGAGAGAGAGAGAGAGAGAGAGAGAGAGAGAGAGAGAGAGAGAGAGAGAGAGAGAGAGAGAGAGAGAGAGAGAGAGAGAGAGAGAGAGAGAGAGAGAGAGAGAGAGAGAGAGAGAGAGAGCAATTCGGGGGTGGAGGTATCACAGAGAAAGAAATATTTCCCTATGCTAACAAGGGGAAATACAATTGGCCTATATTTTCAATATATTTACTGTAACAACATTCTAATCTACTTCATTTTTTACATTTATTTATTTGTTTGTTTGTTTATTGGAGGGGACATGCCACAACCTAAGGGTTGATTCCCTCCTTCCACCATGTGGGTCCTGGGGATTGAACTCAGGTTTTCAGGCTTAGTGGCAAGCACCTTTACCTGCTGAGCCATCTCACTGACCCTCCTAATCAATTTTGTTTTTTCTATTATTCGGTTTTTCAAGACAGGCTTTCTCTGTGTAGCTTTGGAGCCTGTCTTGGAACTCAATCTATAGACCAGGATGGCCTTGAACTCACAGAGATCCGCCTACCTCTGCCTCCCAAGTGCTGGGATTAAAGGCGTGCAATACCCCTGCCTAGCCCTCCTAATCAATTTTAAACACTTACTGTGAGTTAGAACTTCAATATTGAGAGTGATTACCTGTTTCTCTGTTAGAATGACCCTCCTGAGTAACTGGTTCTCAAGTCCCTTCATGGTGACAGTAAAATCAATGACCGACGTCTTGGCGTTGATCTCAGGGGTAAAGGCAGGATTCGGTAACTTCGTGGTGATGTAAAGTTTAAATGTGTCCATGACGTCACATTCCTTATCACCAACTTTCACCTACACAAATTCAAATGTAAAATTAAAAACAGCTTAAAGTTGCTTAAACAAGACCCTGCACGGTGATACCAGTTGCGATACACACGTGGATGGGAGAACTCTCTCAGGGCCCCACCTCTCAAAGAAAAGCTACAGGCCATCAATGGCTGCTGAGACAGGGAGAGACGGGGCTCCTGATAGGTCATCCAATCCCAAATGGTCAGCCCTAAGCACATACGTATACATATGAGCAACACTAAATGATCTCTGTAGGGGTTTTGTGTGTGTGTGTGTGTGTGTGTTTGTGTTGGGGGTGTGTGTGTGTGTGTGTGTGTGTAATGAATAACAGAAGAAGAGGTCACGGGTTTTAAAGTGCGTAGGAGAACACAAAAGACACTGGAATAGGGAGGAGGGGTTGGAAATTGACCCAATTACTCAAGTATGAAATTCTAAAACACAAATTTAATCTAACCTTTTAAAAGGATACAAATGCTGCATAACCCAAAAGAAAGAAAGCAGCTTAAAAGATGGGGGTCGGGGCACTGGGGGTTTGAGATTGGAGTGGGTTCCCCCGGGGGTCAAGGCTGTGACATGTGAGTGAACTGGGAGGGAGAGCTGGGAAATTTTAATTACTGATCTTAAATAACAAAGCCTGTCCGACTTAGAGCAATTCAGATTTGTTCTTCTGTCTGGAGACGTTCTTAGCTACCACCCAAAGCAAATCAAATGAAAAACTGATCTGAAACCAACAAGGAATAAAGGAAAATCTGGCCACATCTAAGACCTGACTTGAAAGTTTCAGCATTTATCACTCCCATCAATTTTATTTCCCCCTAGATAGAGAAATTATATCCAACTGCAGAACTTTGTAGGAATTATCACTTCCTCTCTGTATCCCACAGTCATATCTCCAACGTATTTGACAACAGAATCAATACAATTTAAAAAAATACAGGAAAAATAATATTAACCTTAAATACTACTATTTGTAGTATACTGATTTTTTTTTTTTACTTTCTAAAACCCAGGTGGAACCATAACATTTTTAAATAACTTAAATTTCTAATGAGTCCTGATAGTTCGTGGAATGGGAGCCTTACTTCAGCTTCCAACACATGCTCAAACTAAGGACAAGAGCCCAAGGTCCCGAAAGTAACCTCAGTTGTGGAGGATCTGTAACCTCCGTTAGCATGTTAAATGAGGTTTACAAAACAAGCGAGGCTCAGAAGTTCAAACACTGTACATGATTCTACCCTTAGATTGGAATCTAAAAGAGTGGAACTCCTAGAAGCTGAGAATCCAACACAAGTTATACCATGCTTGGAAGGTGGGGTAAGGGGTGGCCTGGGTGTCCGGGGAGGGCTAGCCAAAGAGCACAAACTTTCATTCCTAGTGCCAACGTATTCCAGATGTCTACTGTACAGATGGGCATCAAAGGGGTTATTCATTCATTTGACTGTGGTCAACATTATACAATATACATGAATAACAAAACACCACATGGTACCCTTTGAATGTATATATATATATATATATATATATATATATATATGGTTTTTTATTATTTTTGTGTATAAGTGTTTTGCCTCTATGTATATATGTGTACCTCATGTATGCCTGGTTGCCACGGAGGTCTGAAGAGGGTATCAAATCCTCTGGAACTAGAGTTACAGGTGGTTGTGAGCTGCCATGTGAGTCCTGGGAGAGCAGCACGAGTGCTGAGCCATTTCCAGTTCCCATCAACTGAACACGTTTAAGAATGATTCAAAATTGTGGGTGAACCCACAATAGCCAAAGAAATCACCAAGATTTTATTCTTAGCTCCCTTTGTTTTGCAAAGAAAATTCCCACTGTGTAATCTCATGGGAAAACAAAAAGAATTCTTAAGAACGTTGACTCAATCATATTCACTTTTCCCCATTAAATTAAATTCACTCTTCCAGGCTTACATAGATCATCAGTGCTCTACATGCATTTGTTAAAAGGATTTTTTTTTTAATAGTAAATAAAAGATTTCACATTTCGGGGTTGGGGAGATGGTTCAGAAGTTAATTGCTTATCACAAAAGCATGGTGACTGAAGTTTGGACCCCCAGATCCCATGAAAAATGCTGGGTGAGCCTGGGACCCACCTGTAATTGTAATTCTAGTCCCTGAAAGCAAACACGGGAGTTTCCTCAGAGCAAGGTAGCTAGGGAGGCTAGTCATATCAGTGACCTCTTAGAGACCTGCCTCAGGGAAGAAGGGTCAAGGCTGATGGAAATCTATTCATTCTATACACACACACACACACACACACACACACACACACACACACACACACACACACACACACACACACACACACACAGGCACACAGGCACACACACAGGCACACAGGCACACACACAGACACACAGGCACACACACAGGCACACAGGCACACAGGCACACACACAGGCACACACACAGGCACACAGGCACACATACACACACATGAAAATGAGGAAAAAAAGAATCCATACTAAAGATATCTAGGTAAATCTGTGTTTAAGGAGAAAACCCTCATTCTTCACTTCTTCCCTAGTACTCGGAATTAAACAAACTGGAAGTGAAATAATCGAATCTAAAATGCTGTCATTTATCAAGAAATAAAACCAATGAACCTTTAAAGTAGAGAATGAGGCCAATTAAAAAAAGAGACACTTATATTGAAAACAATCTGTGTTATCATCAACAACTAGGAGCAGAATTCCATGGCTTCTGGCAAAGTCAATGAGTTTAGACTGAAAGTTAGTAAAGACAGGAATGAACAAATCAGTGTCTACAGGCTTTATTAAAGTGCTTTTTCTTCAGTGAAAAGAACCAGGTTTTCTTGAATCTGTATATGTATTTGGCTTGCAAAACCACTTTTCTAATATACAGCTAATATAATGTATGTGTAATTTCCGTGTAACACTATTATATTGTTATTAAGATAAGAAACCTGTTTCCTTAATGTGTTACTTCATTTCAACCAAATGAAAACTCTTACAGGGATACTGCTCTTCTGGGGCTTTTCTTTTTCTTTATTATAAAAAAAAAATTAAATCAGAACTACATGCCACCCATCGATATGCATGTTTCATTTGTACGTATCCATTACAAGGTAAATTTTCAAGAACCCTTTCAGCAATGTTGTCAAGTACAATACATTGGACCCCCACAAATGTGTGATTAGCTCTCAATTAAGAATTAAATCAACTCAAAGCAAAACAAAGTGGGAGCTGGAGCGATGGCTCAGTGGTTAAGAGAAATGCTGCTCTTAGAGAGGACCCATGTCCAGGTCTCAGTTGGCTGCTCACAACCAATTAACTCCAATTCCAAGGGATCTGATGCCCTCATCTGGCCGCTGATGGCACCTGCACTCACATACACATACTCCTACAGAAATGTACACATAATTAAGATGCAACATGTTTTAAAAAGAAAAGTAAATGCTACCATTTGGGAAGAGAACAGGCAAGAAACAAGCTTTTGATGTCTGGAAGCAACCACCCAGAGGAAACAGCTCATCTGGAAATGCTGGTTTCCAGTGTACAAAACATCACCACCCCCAAAGAGATGGCTCCACCACTGTGCTGAGGTCAAGCGGGTGACACCAGAGTTCTTCCTCTTGTCCAGAGCACTCACCTTGAAAGCGGTGCCCGATTTAATGAAGTTCTTTTCAAGCACATTATCCAAAGCAGGGTCCAGCTCCTCTCGGATGTCCTCGATGAGAAGGGGGCGGCCCAAGGAGAGGCTGTCCTCCAAGTGTGTGCGGAAATACTTATGGTTCAGAGACGTCACCTGAAGATAAAGAGCTCCTTAGTCTAAAACATTCCCAACAAGCAAAAGCTAATTCTTTCAAAGCCTGTAGAAAGTTCTGTGGGTTGAGGCAAGGATACAGGGTCTCTGATCCAGAAGAAAAGGGAGCACTCCCAGACAGAATGCCAGAGCTCCTGGCAGATAGAAGTTGCCAATGACTCATTTTACTAAAGCTTGAATAACTAAAATCACTAACAAACAGCAAGGCACCATGAGTATTTATGATATTTATCATCTCTGGACCTCCCTGAAATGAATAGGTAACAGATAATAAATAAATAGAAGACTGTCGGGGTGCTGGAGAGATGTCTCAGTGGTTGAGAGAGCTTGCTGCACTTCTAGAGGACCTGAGTTCAGTTCCCAGCACACACATTGGACAATTCACAACCACTTATAACTCCAGCTCCAGAGATCCAAGGCTCTTTTTGACCCCTACAGGTATTTCACTCACATGCACATATCCATATGCAGACACACAGGCATACACATAACAAAACTAAAATATGTCTTTAAAAGATAATGTTAGAAGTCTACCCCAGAACTCAGAAGAAAATCTGTCTATATTTCAGCATTAACTATCATCTTTGTTGTAGACTTCTTTATAGGTTTAGAAGTGACCCCCCACACACACACCTCTTCTTAGTTTAATGGCAACTTTGTTATGAATGGATATTGGATGTTATTGAGTCCTCTCCCCACATTTATCAAGATGGTAACATGATCTCCCCAGTAGCGATGGCAGACTTTGATGAATTCATTTAAATTCAATAAATATTGGAATTACTACACTATGTAAGAGCTTTGTTGAAAACATAAACATGGAGAACGCCATAAATGTGACTAGCAAGAAGTTTATGGCTCAGCAGAAATAAAAGAGAGAAATGTTCAAAGAGCAATAATTCAAGTCGAACTTGGAGTCCGGAACAGAACTACTACACAAAGGGGCCTCAGGGCAGGCTATGCTACACTGGGAACACAGAGAAGTCTTGATGAAGTCAGCATTAGATTCAGGCCTTGAAGGAATAATGATGAAGACTTTGGCCTGAGGCTATCAGTGTGGAAAAATTAGTAAAAATAATACAAGAAAAATTATGAAAAGTCAGACCCCCATCTCAGAAAAAAAATACAGAGAGGCCTCAGGCTACTATCAAATTTGATGACCTGAGTTCTATCGCTGGAGCCCACATGGTGGAGGGAGAGAACTGACTCTTGCCTGTTGTTTTCTGGCCTCCAGATATACACTGTGGCATGTGCATGCACACACACACACACACACACACACACACACACACAGAGAGAGAGAGAGAGAGAGAGAAATAATACGTTTTAAAAATGCATGGGACATGAGGAATTCTGGGAACAGGATCTAGGAAACACTGAATAGCCCATATTGCTAGCTGACCAGTGGTAACATGATCACCAAAGAATCCAGGAATGTTGTAACCCTGGTCTTGTCTAACCCTGTCTTACATTAACACCATCGTAGGCTCTGCAGGCAATGCTAGGCATGAGCACATTGCATGGCACCAAGCACCTGGGTGAGGCTGGCAGAAATCAGCTGAGGGACACTATTTCTGCTGCTGTCCTGTTGGTCCAGATTCAAAGCCACATTCTCTACTGGCCAAAGTAATCAAACCAGGGAAATGAAGAGAAATAGGGAGAGCAAGGTCAAGAATGGAAAGAGGGTGGGGAGGTAGAGGCAGGGGGATCCGAAATGCAAAGTCATCCTTGCCCACATAGGAAGACTGAGGCCAGCGTGGGATCCAGGAGACACTGACCCTAAAAATAAATGAACAAATAAACAAAAAGAATACAAAAGAAATGACATCATCAGAGCTGTTACCCCAAATGCCAATGCACATATGAGCAAACACTGGCCAGAAAAGTAACAGTACGGTTTACATCTGAATGTTCTCAAAAGGCTATGGGTTAAAGACTTGGTTTCCAGCTTGGAGCTACTGGAAATGAAGGAAGGAAACATTCAGAGGTAGCATATAGCAGAATGAGCTCACATCTCCAGGCCACATCTTTAAAGGCAAGAGAAGCACCACAGCCCTTTCTCTTTCTTCTCTTCTGCATTCTGGCCATGGTGAATGGGCTTGCCACATACCGCCACCATGATGCGCTGCCTAACCCCAAAGCAACTGAACCGACCAATAATGGATCAAACTCTCCCAAACTGTGAGTCCCAACAAACCCTTTATCTTCATAGCTGGTTAATCTTGTGTAGTCACTACAGTAACAGCCAGCCGACTAGATAGATCCCAACTTCATGTGTGTCTGCTGAAACACTGAGTGATATGTACCTGTAAGTCGTTTTCTTTTTCCTTTGATTTAATCCACGTTTTCCCCTGAGTCTGGGGATCGATGAGGAGGGGGTATCTGGTGGCCTTTGTCACAATAATGCCATTCTGAATTGACAAGTCATCTCCAGGTAACCCCTGCAGGCCCCACTCGCCAATCTGAAGAAGAAATGGGGATGTGCCCATTCAAAGAACAGGAAATATGTTCTTCCCCAAATTTAAATGGGATAACATAGTCAATAAAATCCCTAGAGATCCAGTGAAGCAACCAGCATCCACTTCTGCTAAACTACCCAATAGGACCTCCAAGACCCAGAGTAATGGGGGCTACCTGGCCCCACCTTGCCACACAGTGCCCAGTGTATCCCCTATACACAATCTACTTCCTGTAAGAATGAGTCTAAGATTGTTTGAACTACTAAGGACTAGTTTTTAGCCTTTAAATACAGAACATGGGAAATTCTAAGCATTGTCTCTCCAAGGGAACAGCAACTGGTACCTATTTGTAAAGCTGAAATGAAGTCGATTTGAATACAGATTGCCTAGAAAATACTTATGAGGACAGGAGCTTGGCAAGATGTGTTGAAAACTGACATTGGCATCAAAATCCCAGCAGGTCAGGCATGCCATTAGTCATGGGTACCAGAGCATGTTAGGGTGTTAGCTATTCACGTCTGGCTGGGCTTTTAGCCACCTAGGAGACACACTTCTGGGCTGTCTGTGAAGGCCTCTGACAGGTTCAACTTGAGAAGGTCAGACCCACTTGGAGTGAGAATGAGACCATCCACCCAGTGGGCTGGGGTCCCCCACTGAAAAAAAAGGATAAATGAGCATTGCACTAGCATCTCCCTCCTCACTTGGCTTCCTGACTGTGGATGCAATGTGACTAGCCACTTCACAGTCCCACCACCATGGCTCTCCACGTCATGATGGGCTATACCCTAAAACTGTAAACCGAGATAAACCCTTGCTTCCTTGTTTTGTTTTTCTTAGGTCATTTTGTCACAGCAATAAGGGACTAATATACTTTACTATCTAATATATATATACATATATATATATATAACACCTAATATATATAATATTTAAATACATAATACACTGTAAAACATAACATATAACATATATTATGTTTACATACATAATATACTTAATGCCTAAAATATATTATACTGACATACATAATACACTATAACATGTAGGCAGTGACTACCTTTGCCTCAAATCTTTGAAAGAGAACATAACAGAATTAACATTTTAAATAATGGAAAGCCATTTAAACCATCTTAAGTAATGGAAATAAAATTTTCAATTACAGGAGAATGTAACAGACCTTCTTTGACTTTCTGTTGATGGTAATAACTGAAGCAAGGCTGAAATTCTAGTATTATGAGGAAATGGCAAACTTACAGTTGGAGGGTCCACGAGCATGGCAATGAGATTCAGGTTTTCAGTGAAAGGGATTTTCCGTGCTTTCAACTCTAGCTCCCACTGGTCTTTAAGCAAATAGTTCCTGAATATCTGGTTGAAAGGGCCAAGGTAGGAGAGGAAGCCTGTGCACAGCAGAACATCACCTACAAGTCTGTGAAGGAAACAAGGCAGCTGCAGATGCCCACTCCTCAGGGTGAGACCCTGGAGGAGCTATGGTGCAGACGTGCTTTGCTCCTGACATGGAAAGACTGTGCAAAAAAGAGCCCTAAACCAAAGGGGTAGGAAGGGTTACATTTGGGTGGGTCAGGGAGATGCATACAGGCTCTTCCCTGAAGTGTGGACCGCACACTCTTCCTGTTGTACAGCCTGTTTACAACCTGTCTTAGGTAAACACCTAGTATGTGTTTGTGTATGTGTGGGCACATTCATGTATGCAGGAACCTATGCATATCAACGCATGCATGTGAGCAAGGTTGCAAGCTTGTGTACATAGTCCATAGGTCGATGTCAGATGCCATTCCATAGGACACACACACACACACACACACACACACACACACCTCGTTTTTTGAGACAGGGTTTCTTTTCTCTCTGGCTTGGAGCTGACTAGGTGACCAGCAAGTCCCAGGGATCCACTTGTCTCTTCACCCTAGTTCTAGGATCCCCTATGTGGACCACACCATACTGGCCTTTCCACATCTTTGCAAGGCAAACCTTTCACTGGCTGAGTCTTCTCTCCTGCCCAAATTTGCACACTTTCCAAATCACTGAGGCTAAGCCCAGGGAACCAAACAAGTGTCGATAGACATACCTCCTGCTAGGAACTCACACTGCAGAGCTGTGTGGAAGGCCCTTTGCTTTCCACTTCTAAGATGTGTACACAGCCCTTGGGGGATTCAGAAACGTGTGGATGGTGTAGGTTTTATGTCTCAATGTCACAGAGAGGTGGGATGAGAGTGATGACTAAGAAGGAAGCCCACAAAGATTAAAACTCCTACCTATTAATCTGAGCTTTGAACTCTTTACTTTGCTGGGTCCACCGGACTTTTTCTCCACTCAGCCCATCAATGAGCGTGGAGGCCGCCTGCATCTTCTTCCTACACATGTCTGCATCATTGAGCAGATCCTGCACTTGGAAATGAGAAATGTCTCAGACAACATTTCAAAGCATTTGAACAGGGGCATGTTGTGTCCACACATAAAACTACATGGAGGGATTTCTCAGTTTGCAAAATAAATGTAGTTAGAAAATAATACAGCAATGAATTAACATATTAGTTACAATTTGATCATTCATGAGACAGCAGTTTTTTTGTCTTTTAACCTTGTAAAATTTCAAAGACATATGTAAAAAGGGCAGGGCATATAGCTCAGTTTCTAGAATGCTTTCCCAGCAAGCGTGAAGCCTTGGGTTTCATTTCTAGCATCACATAAAGCCAGGCACAGTAGTTCATGTCTGTAATTCCAGCACCCCCATGGGTGGAGATTCAGAAGGGTCAGTGGTCTAAGATAATCTTTGGCTAGGCTGAGCAGAGAAAAAGTAGGGTGCATCAAACTCTGTCTCTAAAATGAACAACTAATTACCTAAAAATTAAATGAGGCTAAAATCAAGGAAATTTTATAAGACTCTAAAATTATATAAAGTAATATTTCTATTAAATATTTTTCAGAAAACCATACAGGTAAAAATGATGATATTCCTTTAGTTTTTCTGCCAGTATGAAAATTGTGGGTTTCATTATGGCATTTCACATGTGCATACAATTGTACTTTGCCCATATCCATTCCCCTGTTGTTGTTGTCCCTCCCTTTTGATGGTTCTGTTCCTCCCTTAACCCCAAATTTCCCTTTTGCTTTTATGTCATTTATAAATAGATGATGGATGAATAGATAGAGATACATACATACATACATACATACATACATACAGATGGATAAAGAGATATGCAGATAGACATAAATGTACATTTATATTGATAGATACAGACAATGACAGATGATATATAAACAGACAGATACATACATACATACATACATACATACATACATACATACATACATACATACATACATACATACATACATACATACATACATACATACATACATACATACATACATACATACATACATACATACATACATACATACATACATACATACATACATACATACATACATACATACATGGACGGATGGACAGACAGACAGATGATAGATGAATGGATAGCTAATAGATGAGTGGATAGACAGAGATAAATGGATGTAAGACTGGGTGGCAATAGATACACAGATAGACAGGTTCCACATATGAAATGAAACGTGCTATTTGAGGAATGAAAATACTTGAGGTAAGTTTGTGCACTGATTTAAACATTATCCCATATAAAGACACACTGAAGTATCATTTGGTACCCATCACGCATGTTCATGCTTTCATGTATAAGCCTAAAAACTACATCTACTTTAAATTCAGAGCTACTTCAAGCACATCGCTTCTGTCATCTCACCATTTTCTCATTCATCGCATCGTCAAATTTGGCCTGCACCTTGTCCAGCTCAGCCTGCTTCTCATCCAGCAGGGCCTGGGCCTTCCCCAATTCTGCATTGGCCACAGCCAAGCGGCCTTCCTGCTTGGCCAGGTTTGCCTTAGAAAGAAGAAGTGGTTCACACAGAGTCACATAAGCTATGAAACATTCATGATTTTAGTTCGTAAATTATCACATAAATCACAGATTATTTTGCAGTGGATGCTACTTCCAAGGTCATCTGTTTCAGTGTTTGCAACTGGGGAGGCAGGACATCTTGGGGGATATTTTATTACTTTTTCCCCTTTTAATTATTAATGTTCACTGTGGAAAACACAGAAAATGCAACAATGCAAAGGAAGAATAAAAAACTTTGATTTTTCTTAGAAATAAGTGCTGTGTTAAGAAGGTATTAAATGTCATTTTTAATCTTTTTACTTAATAGACTCTAATTATCGTCCCACATCCATAAAATACTTTTTAATAAAACATCAGATATGCGTTTGGATGTCTTGCCAACATGTATGGCTTAGAAGAGAGCACTGGATCCCTTGGAACTGAGGTTGTGAGCTGCCATTCAGGGGCTGAGACTCAAACCTGACGGCTGAGCCATCTCCCCTTAAAATGCTTTAAACAGGTGATGCCACTGGGTGATGTTCTACCACTTGAATGCATCATAATTTATTATATTCCCCTACATTAAGACATATCCTTCCTCTCTCTGGTTTTCAATTCTTAAAAATGATACGAGGATAAATACTGCTGGATAAGCGGCAATTTGGTTCATTGCTTTGGTAAAAATTCTTTTGAAGCAAAGTCACTGTAACAGTAGATTTTTGGATTTTTTTTCTAAATCCTACAATGTGGTAATTATCTGTTTCTTATAATTTTAAAATAATTAATCACTAAAATATAACCAGAGCTCTCTGGGGTAGAAGTCCTTGATAAATGTCTCATTTTCTTTCTTACTTGTTTGCTTGCTTATTTATTTAGACAGGCTCTCATTATATAGACCAGGCTAGTCTCAAACTCCCAGAGGTCTACCCGCCCCTGCCTCCCAAAAGCTGGGAATAAAGGCATGTGCCACCATGCCTGGCTCCTGTGAAGCTGGCTCTGACCCCCAAGACCTGTCAAGGACCAATGGCATGTGCCACAGTCTCAAGCCACCAGCGTGCTTTTGTGGGTTCCCACTTAAGATACAAATGGATTTTCATGGCTCCTTATGTTTTATTTAACTCAATACTATCTTATTTCTTTTGTGAAGCATTGTTCTAATTGGATCTTCACTATGGATCATATTTTTTATTAATTAAAAAAACTTTGCTCTTGTGAATTCTAAATTTCGAGTAAGTTTTTCGTTTGGTATCTTTGTTTGGGGTGTGTTTGTTGTTCTCCCATCATTTTCCTCTGTTAAAACTTTACTGTTTCATTCAAAATTATGTATGTCAAGCTTAAAGAGGCAGTCATGTCTTAAAAGGCTTCTCATGAAGAATGGCAATGCTTGGCTTGCCCACCCATTCACAGAAAAACCAATTATAACTCTTTCAGCTTAGTAGGAATGCAGGGGTTGAGTTTGAGCCCTGGGGGTATGGTGGAGTATTTTATGCATCATTGAATCCCTAAGGCTGATTGCTGTTCCCTCAGACACAGAAGACACCCAGACTGGGTGTACACAGCATATGTGTGCAGGCATGTATGTTGAGGGTGGCTACTGCCCAATGCACTGGCTATATCCCTGAGAATGTCTGTTTCCTCCTAGTGAAGAGAAGCATTGCTGGTGTTGAGTTTGGACCACAATAACTTCCCTCTTAAACACCCTGCCTGCATTTCCCAGACTTCCTGGTTTCTCTCCTTTTGTTGTGTGTGTGTGTGTGTGTGTGTGTGTGTGTGTGTGTGTGTGTGTGTGTGTGTAAATATGTGGGTTGAGGCCAGAGATCACCTCAGGTGTCATTCCTCAGGAGCCACTCATCTTGTTTTTTAAAACAGGGTTTCTCGATCCTTGCTCAGAGCTCACCCATTCCGCTATGCTAACTGGCCACAGAACCCCAGTTCTTTTCACATGCATTCTGGGGCTCCAACTTCAGTCTTTATTCTTGCAGAGCAAGCGCTTACCCGTTGAGCCATCTCCCAAGCCCTGACTTTTTTCCTTTCACAAGCAACTTTAGTTATTTATTTTGGACTTTACAACAGGTCTTCATTCAGTGTTTGAGATCAGGGACATTTCTAGGTGCTGATCTGTATACTTAGTTTGGAATGCCAGGAGCAAACTCAGTCCCCAGTCTCTGAACTTTGAAATACCTGCCAAGTTTGCCTTTGTGGCAGTTCGATTATTATTCTGAACAAATTAATTTCCCATTGAAGTGAACAAGTTAGCCTTGGTTGTCTGCATTGCCAAGAAGCATGAACCAGATAATAAAAAGAAAAAGAAGAGAAACTTCAAAAGAACATGAAATAAAAAAAAATAGTCAGGCTTTGGGGTGTGTGACTTTAGTCCCAGTGGGATGAATCCAAGTGGGAGGCATAGGCTGGCAGGTCTCTGTGAGCATCGGGCCAGCTTGGTCTACATAGCCAGGACAGCCAAGGAACAAAAAGAATTACAAAATTGCAAAAAAAAAAAAAAGACTAAATAAATAATAAAACTAAAACCTGGCTACAGAAGCATTTGCCTATATTGGTGTAAATCACAGTCTGTCTGTTCATTCCTATTTACAGGGACAAGGAAATTTTACCTTCAGAGGCAACACCTCCCTGTTGATGCCATAAAATATTGCCATAGCAAGAGTCCAGGACAGCAAGCCAGCCACATTCCCACAGACTTTTTTGGCGCTCTCAAAACTGTAATCCTCCATGTTAAAATAGGGCTGCAGTAACTCCACAGTCTCCTCGTTGATGGTGTCCTTGGGGAACTGCTGCAGGCTCCACAGGAACCCTGTTGCACTCATCAGCTGGAAGACAGAGAGGCGATCTCTCAGGTCTCAGAGGAAAGAAACCCTGCCTTCCCTCACTGGTATGCACTTATCAATGGTGGCTGTCTGAATGAAAATGGCCCCACGGGCTCATATATTTGAGTACTCGGTCCCTGGTGGATGGAACTGTTTGGGAAGGATGAGGAGGTGTGGCCTTGTCAGGAGAGGTGTGTCACTGGGGGCAGGCTTTGAGCTTTAAAAAGCCCATGTCATTCTGAATCAATCTCTGCCTTGTGGCTGTATCTCAAGATGTGAGCTCTCAGCTCTGCTCCAGTGCCAGGCCTGCCTGCCTGCCGCCATGCTCCCCACTGTGGTGATCTGAAACTGTTAGCTCCAAATAGACCCTTTCTTCTATAAGCTGCCATGGTCATGGTGTCTTACCACAGCAACAAAAAAGTAACTAAGTCATCAACTGATTTTTTTTTCAAAGAGATAAGCCTCTAAACATACCAACTAACCAGCCCTACTGGCAATACCAACCTAAACTTGTAGACTGAAAATATTTTTTTTCTAATTTCATGGTAAAAGAGAGAGATATGAAAATCCACATTTCTGTGCAATAAACATGTCTGAATACCACCAACCTGAAAGACCACCTTCTGGATATGGGGCTAGACAGCCACAAAGCTGGTTAATATGCCACTGGTTCTGGACAGATTTCATTTTTTAAAGGGTTTTGAGCTTCAAAATCTCTCTGTGTATCTTTTGAGTGATACAGTGTCATAATTTAAATCTTGAATACCTCTCAAATACCCTACACATCAGGGGGCTAGAGAGCTGGCTCCATGGGTAAGAACACTCCCTATTCTTGCAGAGAACCTGGGTTCGGTTTCTAGCACCCACATGGTGGCTCACAACCTGTATAACTCCAAAGTGTCTGACCTTTGTGGGTACCATGCATGCATATGACGAACAATATACATGTAGGCAAAACACATAAAAATAAGTAAATATTTTGAAAGACCCCATCTTACTCACTGTTCTATTGACATCATGACCAAGGCAACTATTATAAAAGAAAGTGTTTAATCGGGGGCTTGCTTATAGTTCCAGAGGGTCATCAGCATGGCAGGAAGCATGGCAGCTGGAGAGAGAGACTGGGCCTGGTGTGGGGATTTGAAACCTCAACCAACCTCCAGTGACACACCTCCTCCAACAAGGCCACACCTCCTAACCCTTCTAAACAGTTCCACTCCCTGGTGACTAAGCATTCAAATATATGGGCCTGTGGGTGTCATTCTTATTCAAACCACCACAGACCCATATGCCGAAAGCTCTGTCCTGTAACCATGGTGCTATGAAGAGGTGGTAGAACCTTTAGTGGGTGAAGCTAGTGAGAGGAATTTAGAAAGGTGAGTTAGTTACTGTCTATTGCTGTGACAGAGTACGTGATGGAGGCACCAGAAGGAAAGAAACAGCTTGCTATGGTTCACAGTTTGCAGGGTGGGGTGTGATATGCCACTGAGGGGGAAGGCATAGCAGCAATGGGCTCCAGGCCAGCAGGAGTATGCAGCTGGGACTCCTCGACTTCTTGCATCTTGATGGAACAGAAAGCACACAGCACTTGGGAAGTGGGGACAGACTCGAGGCCCACCTCCAGTGCCCCAACTCCTCTAGCAAGACTTCCTGGAGTCTACATGACTTTTCAAGTCAGAGCTACCAGCTTGGCACCAAGCATTCAAATGTGTCAGCCTGTGGAGCACATTTCACACTCAAGAAACAGAAAAAAAGGATATTAGAAGTCCAGCCCCTCCCATTCAAGCCACCAAAAGGGACACTAGGACGCAACCCTTCTCCTTCCTCCCTCTACTTCCTGATTCAGTAAAGTAGTTTCCTCTGCCATGTGCTTCAACCACAGAGTAGCTACTGCCTCGCCACAGGCCCAAAGGGCCAAGACCAATCAATCCATCATGGCCCCAAAACAAAACTCCCGAGCCAAAATATACCTTTCCTTTTATAAATGTATTACCACAGGCATTGTATAACAGTGATAGAAAAAGTACTGAATAGCGTGAAGCCTGAGCTAAACTCTTGAATACATGGTAGTTGGCTGTAGATGCCAGCTGGTCTGGCTGATTCTTTGTGTCCTGATGCACATCTGATGCACCCCACGAGACTTACAAAGATTCTTCTTACCTTCAATGACTCCCCCCAGGAGGGCTTGCAGCAAGGCTTTTCTGGGTCCATAGTAACAGGGTCGATTTTCTTCTGGAATAGTAACAGCACACAGTCCATGATTCTCATAATCAGATGAGGTGGTTTGGCGAGCTTCCTGACCGTGGCGATGTCATTTGGTTTGATGGTCTGTAGTCAGAAGTAGGAATCAATGTAATTTTTTTTTCCTGAGTGGTATTAACAGACATATATGGAAACCTAATACTTCTAAATGATTAAAGCAGAAAACCCATCAAAACATATTTCATCTTCTGACTCCTAACATTATCTCCCCAGGAGGTCAAATTCTAAGGTTTCTGCATAATGGTTCCTGCATGGTTAGGTTCAGATTTCTGTTTGTTGGCCTTTATTCCTGCTCTGCTGCTCCTTAAATTGACTGACTTAAAGGATCAATCATCGCCCACTGCCCAGACCTCTGCTAACATAATCAGTGTGTAACATTTTGACAGCTTGCACCCTAGCACTGGGAAGGCAAAGACAGGAGGCTCTTAGGTGCTTGTTGGCCAGCTAATCTAACTGAATCAGCCCCAGGTTCACTGAGAGATCCTGCCTCAAAAAAGTAAGGTGGAGAACGACAGAGTAAGACATTTGGTGTCAAATTCTGATGACCATACATGTGTGCATGTAGATATGCATATACCTGTGCACACATATGTATCACACACAAACATGCACACACAAATACAACACATTCATACAATGACAATAAAAAATGTTTAAAGAGAAAGGAGACAAAGCCCTCAATATCAGAGAGCTTAGCTTTTAGTTTTCATTTTTAGGGCTGTTCTGTCTCCATGGAAACAAGAAAAATTATTACAGTGTAAGGCTTATGAAAATGTGCTTAGGAGCTATGAGCTGGGTTTAGATGACGCCTGATGTGGTGGCTTGAATGAAAATGGTCCCCATAAGCTCATATGTATGAATACTTAGTTCCCAGTTGGTTTGAACTGTTTGGGAAGGATCTGGAGGTGCGGTCTCATTGGAGGAGGTGTGTTCTTCGGGGCAGGCTTTGAGGTTTCAAAAGACTCAGGGCATTCCCAATGTGCTCTCTGCTTCCTGTTTGTGGACTGGTGTGTGAGAGCTCAGCCGCTGCCACAGCTGCCTGCCACAAGCCTTCGCCCCTCATCATGGACTCCAGCCCTCCAGGACTGCAAACCCAATTAAACCCTTTCTTTCGGAAGTTCACAGCTCATGGTGTTTCGTCACAGCAATGGAAAGTTACTAATATGGCTGACATCCAAGATAAGAGACAAGGAGAGCAAGATCAACAAAACTTAAGACCATTCCAGTTTAGTGGTTTGTCTTTCATATGTCATTACATGGCACATAAAGGGAATGGGGGGGATGTGTACTGGACATGGAACTAAATGATTACCTCATAGTCATCTATCCATTTAACAGCTACAGGCATTCTCCTATATAAAGCAAAGCGAGCAAACAAAAACAGCCCTGTCTTCATAATCTCCCAAAGAAGGTAGAGACTACTTTAAAGTAGGATCTCTGCCACGACAGAAGCCTAGGGCGATGGCAAAACAAAAGACGAGCTCGGAAGAACTGAAAACCTTCTGGAGGAAGGGAGGGTGGGGCCTGCTTTGAAGAATCTTTGTGATTAGGCAACAAAGGTTAGGAAAAGCACTCACGGCAGATGGAGGGGCATAAGACATTTAGGTACATCTAAAGGTAAGAGGTCACGATTCTTCTAGAACCCTACAAGTGTTTCTGTATGGGTGGGCCAGACTGTATGTAGGGGCAGAATAGCTAGGGCAAAGTTCAAAACATAGGAGTCAAGTTGTTAGCTGCAACAGAAGCAGGTAGACTAGTAGACTGTAGATAAATGATTGATAATGATTGATGGGGAATGTACTGTATATGTTTATCTTATTGATTATTGAATAATGTACTTGTTTGGCCAATGAGACAGCAAGTTAGACAGGACTAGGAGTCAAAGAGGATTCTGGGAAATGTAGTAGAGAAGTGGTGATCCAGGCAGGAAGTGACATAGCAAGAAGACTCATATTTAAGCAAAGGAAACAGGAAGTGTCCCTTTTTCTCCCCCTTGGTGGCTCCTCCAGCAGTGCCATGTGAGCCACCGCAGGAGAGGGTGCCAGCGGAAGGGATCCTCTATAAGATAAGTCTTATAAAATATATAGATTTATGATAATTAAGACTGAGCTAGCAGATGAGAATCCTAGTCATTGGCCAAGCAGCTTTGTACCTAATAAGTCTCTGTATTATTTTGTCCATCCATGCGGCGGGCAGAACTCAGGCGGCTGGCAGAGACTGCCCACTTGGCAGTAGGACTCAGGCGGCTTTGGCGGAAAGATTTATCGTAACAGAATGGTGTCAGTGAGCGGGATGACCCCCATGCCCCAAGGTTCCCAGAGAAAGAGGGAAACCTGCCGCCACAGCCCTGTCGGGCCACTGAGAGGCATCAGAGGAGCTCCCATATGCTTGCGCCGTCCCGGTGCTCTTGGGGTTTGGACCTGGCACTTCCAAGATGAAAAGACAGATCCAGATAAAGAAAAACTTCTAAAGGTTTACACTGCATTTAAAAATATATATAGGCTTGTGAGAGAAAAAATAACAGGAGGAAATAGGGTAGCCAGTTGTGGTGGCGCACACTGGTAGGATTTGCTAAAGGAAGCAGAGGCAGGTAGATTTCCACAGAGAAATCTGTCTCAGAAAAACAAAAAAAGAAACAAAAGAAAGTAAAAATAAAGTAATAAAAAAGCCACATAAAGATGGAAACTACACAGAGAATCTGGATACTTTATGCCATATTGTTGTTTTTAAATTGATTGATTGCTGAGGAAAGACTTACTGCTGCTAAAATACACTTGATTATAAATGCTACTAAATTAATCCAACTTATACATTTTAAAAATGCTTTGACGTCAAAATTTAAGTCTAAGGACAAGCTACTTGAAAAAAAAGTTTTTACATATGTTTCCACAGAAAATCAAAAGCTGTGGATTCCTTCCAGACTAATATGGCTTGATCAAGCAAGACCCCCTGAAGCTGAGACGATACAGCCTTACAGACTACAAAAACAAGGACTTGGTCAGGTTTCTATGTTTTATCATGATTCCAATGGTATGAACATCGCCCCCAATCAGCAGGAAGCAGTTTAGAAAGAATGACGCCCATATTCCCAAATATTGTTTATAAATGTTTGTTTTCATTTAAATGCGGTTGGTTATAAATGATAATGTCTTTTAAAAGAAAAAAAAGGGGGAATAGGATATAGGAATGAATACTTTACATTGGTATAGACTTTAGGTATTGTGTTTATACAGATCTTTTAAAATGATATGCATAATTAAAAACAGATTATATAGTTACCTATAATAGTCATAACTTATAATTAGGTTAGTTAGGTTTTCTAGATATACAGAGATGTATTTGAGATGGATAGGTATTCTTCAAACCTTTCAAAGACCTACAGAAATATGGCATTTAAATAGTTTAGGGTTTTTCTTGGCAGTGAGACACAACTGCTCCTGACACACCAATTACGTCAGAAAGG